ACAATCTACGCGACAGTCGCAACGCACCTCTAGCACGTCGCCTTCCGGAAAAGCTGCGTCTGCTTTTCGCAATGGTCTTACTGACACCACTGCTGCGACTCGTCGACGACCCTGATAACACCCAAGCCTGGACGGTTCTGCTGTTTGCCGCTCGCCTGACATTGCGTCAGCAGTCGCCGAAGCACCCCGATTGGAAGGCGACCAGAAGCAGATTGCGTAAATTCCTGCGAGGGGAGTGGGAATCACTTTACCAGGAAACGGTGGATTCGCTGGAGCAGCCCCCACCCCCCAGGAACCAACCGGATGACCTGGGGGTTATCTCCAGGGCAGAGGGTCTGGCGCGACGTGGCAGTCTGCGAAGGGCTGTCATGGCACTTGAAGCGACACCAGTCAGCAAGCCGACCCCAGAAGTTCTGGAATCTCTTCGCGCCAAACACCCACGTGCCCAGCACCCTGACACACCGTGGCCCCAGCCTGAGCCGGACACTTACCTGGCAGTGTCGCGAGAAGTTTTCATGAAGCTTCTCTCAAAGTGTGAAAACGGGGTTGGCGCTGGCCCCTCAGGCACGACGTTCGAACACCTGCGCGAAGCTGCACTGATGCACACGGCGGTCAGCTCACACTTACATGCGCTTGTCAACACGATCCTTCGCGGGAAGCTGCGCACGGAGGTTGGGGGGCTTCTTACCGCATCACGGTTGATAGCCCTCGATAAGCCAGACGGAGGGACAAGGCCAATAGCAATAGGCGAATGCCTCCTACGACTGGCAGCCAAAGCAGCGCTCACTCAGCTGGCAGAAGCGGCTAGGGAATTTTTCTTACCATTACAGTTTGGAGTTGCCGTGCCGGGGGGAGCAGAAGCAGTGATTCACATAGTTAGAACTTTCACCTCGGCCAATCCAGAGGCGCTAGTCCTGCAGGCGGATCTTGCTAACGCCTTCAACAGCGTCGATCGCCTCGCCATAGCGACAGCGCTGAAAGGCTCGCATCTGGAGCCGCTACTGCCTTTGGTGATCTTCTCTTACGGCCAGCCGTCTGCACTTCACCTGGACGCAGCTTTTGACCACGCGCCCTTGCTCAGCGAGACTGGAGTCCGCCAAGGGGACCCCCTCGGCCCCCTTCTTTTTGCCGCGGCCATACATCCGGCTCTGAAGGCTGTTGCGGAGGCGCACCCAGATGTCATCTGCCTTGCTTACGCGGACGATGTTACCTTCTTAGGGGACCCGTCGTCATGTGCGGCCGCTTTTGATCATTTCACGAGCCTCCTGGCGGAAATCGGGCTCAAACACAACCCCGCCAAGTGCGGGGCCTGGTCCAATAGATCGCCGGCGGACTACACCCTGCCCGAGGGGGTTCCACTCAGCAGCGACGGGTTGAAAGTGCTGGGCAGTTACATCGGCACCCCAACAGCCACATCCGCCTTCATACGTTCCAGCCTGGAAGCGATGGGAGCGCCGCTGGGATTGATAGAACGAATGGAGCCTCAGCTGGCGGGACTGCTGCTGTCTCGGTGCGTCTCGCGCCGAGTGTCTTACTTGGCCCGCACGACTCCCCTTCCGTCCCTGCCCCAGGTGGAGTGGTCCGAATGGGGGAGGCGACTGCTGGATACCCTGCTCTCGGCATGCGGCATAAACCACCTGCGGGGGGAGGAGGAAATTTCACGCACTTGGGCGCAGGCCTCCCTCCCCGTCTCGCTTGGTGGGCTCGGACTGACAGACCCGTCCGTGGAGGGAAGCTACAGCTTCCTCGCCAGCTACACGCAGGCTCATCTCCTGCTGGACTCCCTGGAGGACGAATGCACCGGCCCATTGGAAGTAACACGCGAGGTGATGCGCGGTCCCTACACTCAGGCCTCCCCCTTGACCGAATGGCTAGCGAAATGCGAGGAGGAGCTCCCACTGCCAGCTCAGGAAGCCCTGCAAGCAGAGAGAACAGCCCCAACCGCAGGGAAGCTGCAGCACGGGCTGGCCACGGCTATCCAGGGCCAGCGCTATGCTGTCCAAGTGGAGGAGGTGAGGGGGATGAGCCCGAACCCGAACAATGGTCACACGCAGCGGATGATGTCCCTGTCGGGGTATGGCGCAGGGGATTGGTTAAACGCGGTGCCTCTGCACCGCGCGCTACACCTTGAGGCTCCGCACTACGCCAATGCGCTCCAGTTTCGGCTGGGGCTCCCCTTTGCGGCTCCCGGGGTCTGCAATTGCTCGAAGAAGGTGCAAATCCCAGACAAGCGGCTCCCAAACCACCTGCTACGATGTGGGACAGGGGGAGGGCGCACAAACACGCATAATGAGCTAAGAGATGAATGCGCGCGAATGGCGCGCGACGCAGGCTTCATGGTGCACATCGAAACGGCCGCTTTCAGCCCAGTGGAAGAGAAGAAGGCTGATCTGGCCCTCCGCTGCCGCTCCAATGGCGCCGTCTACATCTGTGATGTGACGGTGACGGATCCCATCAGCACCCGCGACAAGAATGCAACTAAGGGGCGGGGGTGGGCAGCACGGGAAGCAGCAGATAAGAAGCACGGCCTCTACAGGGACCGCCCCGAGTGGGTGAAGTTTTTCCCGCTTGCGGTCGAGACTTATGGGTGCCCATGCCCTGAGACAGTGGATTTCCTGAAGCTGCTCGCGGAGACGGCTGCAAGGCGGTTTTATAACGCCGAGCCAACCTCCTACCAAGCTGCCAAGCTCTTACACCAATATCGGCAGCGGTGGTCGGTGGCTCTACAAAGGGGGCAGTCGATTGGATACTTAGAGAAGTGCAGCATAGCGGCTGCAGTAGAATACCCACTGCTGGAGGCAGTAGGTGAGGCTCCGTCCCTAGGGGACTGCCTCTCGGTCCTTGATCCTGCGCTGGACCTAGCTTAGGGGGGGGGGGGAATGGTAGAAGAGTAGTAAGAGGCTTTATGCACCAGACTCACAATAGCTACCACCTTGCATGCCTGTAAGTCTTATGATAATCAATGAAAGGGCCATTCGAGAGAGAGAGAGAGAGAGAGAGAGAGAGAGAGAGAGAGAGAGAGAGAGAGAGAGAGAGAGAGAGAGAGATGAGGGGAGGAGGGAAGCAGGGGGGGAGGAACTGAACGCAGGTGGCAAGACAAGCAGAAAATCGCATCACCGTACAGGCACAAGCAGGCAGCACACACGGCACACAAACACACAAACACACACACAGCACTCACAGGCTCGTGACCATTCCCTCTGCATTGCACGTGACGTTACTATCAGCTAGCATGCAGTCCCCCAGTGCCGTCCCCCCGTTGAAGGTCGTTTTCCACGTCGCCGCACACTCCTGCAGCACCGCCGCTGCCAAACAACGCGGCGGGCAACGCGGGCACCGGGAAAAATGATGCAGGCGGCGCACAACGGCTAAAATTTGCTGATATCACGGCCCGTAACACGCGAAAGACACAGATCACTACGCCGGTCCAAACCAGGCCCCACCTTGGGACGCTTGTAGGCGAACTGCGGTACAGACGTGCGCGAGAAGCGCCATTGCCGCCGCCACCAACACCAGTGCATGCGCGCGCAAAGCATGAAAACCCCCACGCCGCGAATTCATGGTAAAAGCCCGCCATTCGCGCGCGCGCCCCGCGGTCACTTGGTCATCCACCCATTTGCACGGTTGGCCACATTCCGAAGAAACGGCTAGAACTGAAAAGCCTCTCGAGATGAGCGTTGCTCGCTCCGCCATGGCCTCCCAGTAACAACAAGTTGTTGTTACCACTACTACTGATTAGTGCATGCGCGGGGAAGTCTAGTAGGAGGAAAGCAAGGAGTTGAGATCGAAGCTGGCTGTGTGAAACTTGGAGGGTAATCTGATTAGTAGAGACAGAAATGAGAGAGGACCGGTTGGGAGTGCAACACCAGGCAGTGTATGTTTTCCGTTTCCGGGGGTAGTTCCGCAAACCCTTCACTGCAAAGATTCTGGCGAATCTCCCACTGATTCAAGCAAGTCCAGGAAAAACAATTCCGCATGCTGACCTCTAGCAGTATGGGCGGAACTGGGTGTTGTTCGGGGTTTCGGGTGCTGTGCGTGTACTTGGCAATAGCAGTGACTCCCAGTTTCTAAAAGGGTGGTTCTACGATCAAAACGAAATAAAACCAAAACTTGAGGAGCTTACTTGTGAAAACAGAGATAATTGAACAAAATCGGGGTGTCGGAGGCAATGGGCGCCATAGTCAAGTAAATTATAATGTGAAAATCAGACATATGAAAATGCCCAAACTCTTCCACGTAGGGTCGTGATCGAACAGGGTATTACATCAAGGCCTATATTTGCGCGAAACGTTCAATACAAACCTTGCAAAAAGAGAGGCATGAGGCTACTGTCCCCCAAGCCAGTAAGGGGCACCACCGATCGTAGCTGTGACGGATGCACGCACATCACCTCGAAAATTCGAGCAATTTTAGACGCGCTTCGGTGATTCGAATTCTCGTGGGACACTGGGAGCTGGTTCGTGGGTTTCACTGCCACACTGCAGTTCTGGTGTTTATGCAAGGTGCGGAATGGCATTTCTTTCAAGGAGGTGCACTGTGAGAGTTGGTCCACTGTGCGGAATGACGACACCAATGGCATTGGTCCCCCTCTGGGTCCAGGGGACCATCACGACCGTACAGTGTACTTCTTGTATCTACGCAAGTTGCATTGCAAGACTTTCAAGGAGGTGTACGGAACATCAAAGCCACCTACATCGAATGGCTACACCCGTCCTGATTTGAACAGCATACATGCGACCTAATTCAAATACGGTACAAAAGAATCCACAATTGGGACATTCATTGCAAACTACACCAACCCTATCATGAGAATCCAATGTCTGCCTCCCTCTCCTGTACAGAAACAATCTTCTACAGTTAATCCGACCATCCAAGGCACCAATTTTCAAAACCCAACTTATTGCCACAACCCTTTGCATAACTACTTCCTCAAGGAGTTCCTCGTTCCGAGGCCGCTTCTCAAGCATTTAACCAACTCCCGCTCTCTCTCGAACGGTCCTCTACACATCTGTCACGAACCTACCACTATCCTCTTCTCCCATGAGCCAATCGAGCTTTGCATCTAGCGCATTCTGACTGAAACCCCCAGAAAGCCCATCTGCAGCCTCCCCACCCTGTTGCTCTCCAGGCCCCCCACCGCCTGCAGCACCGGGGGTGTCACCATTCTCGCTCGCCCCTTCGTTGCCGGGCAGAGGTGGGCGCGGGTGGGCGGAGAGGGAGCGCTTGAGAGCCTTGATGGAGCGGAGCAGGTCGGTGACAGTGGGGCGGGAGAGGGGGTCGGAAGCGGTGCAGGAGAGGGCGAGGCGGACCATGGGCAGCACGATGGCGTCGGGTGCGTGGGGCAGGTGGGCGGCGCGCAGGTTGGCTGTGATGTTGCGAGATATTAGGTGATGTGCCTGCACAGGGATGGGTTTTATAGACGTGTTCGGCAGGAATAGGAGAAATGGAAGGGAGGAGATGGAAGGGAAAGCAGACAGTGAGGCATGTAGGTGCATGGTGCGTTGGCATTTAGAGAGAGGGAGCCCATTGGCGGTGTGCGGTGTGCTTTGCAGAGACAACGAGAAGAAAATCCCTGGGAGTCCACACCGCACTCACCCAGTCCCGAATGTGCACTGAGGTGCTGCTGCTGCCACTATAGCCACTGCTCATACTGCTGCTGCTGTCGCTGCCTGTGCCGATGCTGTTGCTGCTGTGGCTGCCTGTGCTGATGCTGTTGCTACTATGGCTGCCCGTGCTGATGCTGTTGCTGCTGTTGCTGCTACTGCCACCACCGCTGGAGCCAGAGCTGTTGCCTTGCCGAATGTTGCCTACAGCTGTGGGGATCAAGGCAGGCCGTCCGGTGATGAGCTGCAGCATCACCACACCAATGCTGGCAGGATGGGGGGATGGAGAAGAAAGTAGGGGCAGGAGGAGGGAAGAGAGAGAGGCGTTTTGGTTCGGCTGGTGCAGCCAGCAAGCATGTGCAGCCAGCAAGCATGTGCAGCCAGCAAGCATGTGCAGTCAGCAGCAGAATATCCGGTTCCTGTATTTGTGTAGGGTCAAACGGACTAGCAGCATCTGGTTTCTCGCACTGTGTGAGCTATAGGAGAGAAGGAGGTGGAGAGAGGAGACGGGGAGAGGTGCATCAATAGAAAAGGTGTGGGAGGGACGCAGTTGTGAAGAGTTGTCCAAAGTGGATACAAATTTCTGAGTAGGAGGAGTTGAGTTGAGCTGAGCAGTGCAGCACGGACCTGAAAACGTCCGTGGTGGGCGTGGTGCGAGCAGAGGCATGCAGGGTTGGCTCCATGTATGCATGGTTGGCAGGTAGCCGTACTGCTGGTGAGACTGATGCCGCTGCTGATGCTGATGGTGATGCTGGTGGTGCTGTTGCCGGGATGGATGGAAGTGGATCGCCCATTTTCACGGCCATGCAACCAGCCAGGACAGCCTGAGGAGAAGGAATGGGGATGGTGTGGTGTGGGACATGAGGGGCAAGAAGCGGTGTGAAGGAAAGGGACCAAGGGGTCAAGGGAGAGACGCAGCTGATGGCTGGTGGTGGGATGAGGTGGAATGAGTTGGGAGTATGGGAAGAAGCAAAGTGTGCGTGGCAGAACAGTTAATTGTCTATGCACCTACGTGTCACTGCACCTACGTGTCACTGCACCTACGTGTCACTGCACCTACGTGTCACTGCACCTACGTGTCATGTCACCTGCACGGTAGACAGGACGTCACCTGCAGCGCGGTGTCAAGCAGGATGTTGCGTGGGTGTATGCGGCCATGCACGACCCCATGGCTCTGGATGTGCTTCAGCCCGCGCAGCACACCCGCGGTCACATCCAGGCACTGCCACACGGACAGAGGCACGCTGCCCTCTGCACGGCGGGAGGAGGAGCGGGGCAGAGGGGAGTGGAGGCAAGCAGAGGGGAGCAGGGCGAGGCACACGGAAGAAGAGGGGAGCAGAAGGGGCAGAGGGGGGAAGAGGGGAGTAGAGGGGAGCAGAAGGGGCAGAGGGGGGAAGAGGGGAGTAGAGGGGAGCAGAAGGGGCAGAGGGGGGAAGAGGGGAGTAGAGGGGAGCAGAAGGGGCAGAGGGGGAAAGAGGGGAGTAGAGGGGAGCAGAAGGGGCAGAGGGGGGAAGAGGGGAGTAGAGGGGAGCAGAAAGGGGCAGAGGGGGGAAGAGGGGAGTAGAGGGGAGAAGAAGGGGCAGAGGGGGGAAGAGGGGAGTAGAGGGGAGCAGAAGGGGCAGAGGGGGGAAGAGGGGAGTAGAGGGGAGCAGAAGGGGCAGAGGGGGGAAGAGGGGAGTAGAGGGGAGCAGAAGGGGCAGAGGGGGGAAGAGGGGAGTAGAGGGGAGCAGAAGGGGCAGAGGGGGGAAGAGGGGAGTAGAGGGGAGCAGAAGGGGCAGAGGGGGGAAGAGGGGAGTAGAGGGGAGCAGAAAGGGGCAGAGGGGGGAAGAGGGGAGTAGAGGGGAGCAGAAACGGGCAGAGGGGGGAAGAGGGGAGTAGAGGGGAGCAGAAAGGGGCAGAGGGGGAAAGAGGGGAGTAGAGGGGAACAATGAACCCAGAGCACATGAGTGTCTTTGTTGATTGAACGGAAGTGGCGTGGAGTGATGTGTTCACAACAGGCTGTAAAAAGTTCCCAGAAAAGTCCTGTATAAGAAAGGTAGGATCGGCACTGGCGCAGAACGCGGGGCGGGTGTGTGTGTGTTTGTGTGTGTGAGCGAACGTACCTGCAACGAGGCGGCTGTGCAGATTGCCTCCTGGCACCCACTCAAACACTAGCACCTGCTCCTCTGCTTGCTCCACCGCATGAACGGAAGCGGCAGCAGCAGCAGAATAGGCAATAGCCCTCTCAGCACCAGTAATCTTGGTGCTATCAGCAATGCCAGGCTTCTCCCAGCAGTAACCCAGCAGTCGCTGCAGGTTGGTGTGGTGGATGGACCAAAGCGTGGCCACCTGGGAGGGAAAGGAACAGCCACAATAGAGGAGCATAAAAGGGCAAGGTATAAGGGGTGCAGCATGGTACTGGCATTGGCACCAAACCGGTCGCGATAGCAGCAGCGCCATCGGTAGTGGCAGAAGCAGCAGCAGCAGCAGCAGCAGCAGCAGCAGCAGCAGCAGCAGCAGCAGCAGTGGAAGCTGCGGCAGAAGCAGCAGAGGAGAACCATCCCCAGATCGCTCACCTCTTTCTGGAAGTCGGTGGAAAGCTCCTCGTTGCCGCGCCTCACAACGAACCACTCCTGGGGCGCATGGAGAGGACTCACTGCCTTGTACTTCTGCCCTCCACTGCTGCTGCTGCCAATAATGCTGCTGCTGGTGGTGCTGCTGATGCTGCTCCACCCCTGCTTCTCCACCCTGCCATCCTCACTCCACCCACCCGTTGCTTGTGCCAAGAGAGACATGGGGAACTTGGGGCAGCGGGCACGACCGAAGACACGGGATGCTGAAGTGGGGAAAGGAGAGGGGGAGAGAGACGAGAGTGGGGATAGGGGAGTGAAAGTAGGAAGGAAAGTGAGTGCGGAACTTGATGGTGAGATGATGGTGAGATGGGACTCTGGCAACAATGGGAAAGGATGATGGTGGCTGGCTGTAGCAGTGACTACAAGAGCAGCAATGAAGAGAAGTGTGTGGCGGAATGGTAACTAGCTTTGTTTGCTCCGTGCTCCGGCCGTTCCTCGCCTACTTTCACCTGGCGCTCCTAGCTATTCTCACTACTCGCTCCTAGCTCCAGTCGCTCTTAGCCTACAACTCCTGCACCCTGCTAGCCTTTACCATAAAGTCCCCTAGAGTTTTCTAGCAGTAGGGACAGCACCAGCGCTAGTTTCAGTAGTGGGAACCTCAGCAGCAGTGGCGCCCTCAGCAGCAGTGGCGCCCTCAGCAGCCGTGGGGGCCTGGTAATTTGGGTAGCGTTGGCTGCAGCAGCGGCCCAGCTAGCTGGGGAGACGAGACTCGCCACTTCGAGTTGGACAAGGAACACAACACAACCAGATTCGAGTTTTGAGTCGACTCATGTTTTGAGTCGACTCAAAACACGACGGAGGAGACTCACTCACCACATCGAGTTGGACAAGGAACACAACCAGATCCCACCCAACCACCCCATGCCGCATCTCCCTCCCAACATCCCCACCAACACAAATCGGGATGCGTCAATGCCCAATCCCATCCCAGAAATTCAACACCCTGGCGAACAGGCCTCGCGCCAAAAATTGTTCACCGGTGTCGCCAACTGGTTTGACTTGGCATGGCGCGCCGCGCCACTACGTGACAGTCTCCAGCCAGCCTGCAGTAATCTGACACCCCCTTCTTGCGCTATTTGTGAGGCCTTCGCAGTCAGCCTGCTGTCCTCGCTTCTGCACCTCTCAGCCAATTCTGACCGGGGGGGCGGCTAGAGGTCACCCCTGTTCCTCCCTCGACTTTAGCTGCGCGCACCTCGACAGCATGCCGTCCTGATTGGCATTGGCAGGCGATGGGTGACAGGATCAATCAAGCACTTTCGTTAAGGTGACTGGGGCGCCCTTTACTACAAAGAGGCAGTGCGGGTGACAAAATCGCCACTGCCGCCCCGCCACACCCCAGGGATGCTGTGGGTGCCTAGCAAGGGCCAAAGGACGGGCCAAACACGGGAATCTGGCTAAGTCCTTCCAGCTCCTGCAGGCTACCCAAGTGGCCACACCATCGGCAGGAACCGTTGCTGCCTTGGCGTTGTGCCACCCAGGCGCTACCCTGACGCTGCAATTCGGTGTCGCTGTGTCCGGTGGCATTGAGGTCGCCAACCCCATGCCAGCGTGTTCACAACGAAGTGGAACGTGCGGCGGTGTTTCAAGGGTTATGTGACACCCCCCATCCCGCCCTGCTGCCACCTTGCCTGAGGGGGAATGGTCGGCCAGGGGTGAGGCCCACGTTCTTGCAAACGTCGCACACCTGCATAGCATACCAAGCGAGGCTGAAAAAGGCTGGCGGATTTGGCGGCAAGCGGCGTAACCGGTGACATTGGGGGGGCTGGGCCTCACAAACCCAGCTGGTGAGGGCAACCATGCTTACCTGGCTTCGGTCATCATCATTACCTCCCACCTACTTCAGGCTCTCAATCGGGTGTTGCACACAGCAGTAGCTGATCTCATACCACTCATGGAAGCTGACGCAGCCTCCACCCACCCAGACAGACCTTACCGGCCCACGTGGCAGCAGCAGCGGAGGCTCGGCTACCTGCTGAAGCGCAGCCGGCTTTGGAGGGAGGTTGGCCACCAGCGGGAGGACTCAAAACTCCAGCGAGCCCTGTCCCTCCCTAGGTGTCCTCTCGGTCTCGGCCCTCTACATCACCTCACCGCACTCAAAGACTTCCGCCGCATGACTCCCAAACCACTGCACGGCCATACCCAGCGCAGCGCCTCCTGTCCCTTATAGGCCCGGGCGCGGGGGATGGATTGATGATGTTGCCGCTCACTCCGGTGTTATGAACGACTTAGTGCGGCGCATTTAGCTACGGCTGCCGCGTTCTGCATCGGCCTCCCTCTTCCAGTGCCACACACCGCTGTGATTGCTGCTGATATTGGTGCGACTTTTGAGAATTCTCAAAAGTCTTCCAGTGCCGCACCGCTGTGATTGCTGATATGCAACTACCTCCTCCGACGCCCGCCTTCCAAATCAAACCACCTCATGCGCTGTGAGGAGGAGGGCAGGGGCAGAATAGGCACTCACCACCACACTCTATGGGACGAATGCGCACGGATTGGGGCGCACGCGGGCTTCACAGTCCGCAAGGAAACCAACATATACTCCCCGTTTGAGAATAACGTGATATAAGTGAATTCTTGAGACGTCTCAAAGATTCACTTTGATAGCAAGCGGGCTTCTTCACAGTTCACAAGGAAACCAACATTACTCCCCGGTTGAGAACCAACACGCGGATGTCGCCATCCGCCATCCCGACATCGGGAAAGTAGTATGGATGTGTGTGTGACATCACGGTCACGTCACCGGTCATTGATCCAGTTTCGTGATAAAACAAGTGTTTTGAAACCACGGTCACCTATCTAGTTTTCCACCAGGAATTTCTCGCCTACCGAGCCCCCAGCTGGGCGGCAAGGGCGGTGCAACTCGCAAAGAGGAGAAGTTAACCGGAACGCATGGGTTGAATACGGCTACCCTTGGGTACTCAATTATCTGCGGGCATGCGCAACTCTGGAAAAGGGAGAGAGCGCGAAGGGGGCTCAAGGGTACCAAGGTCGAAACGGAAAATTGCGGCACAGCACCCAGCGCACACCGAACGAGACGCAACACAGGACGCAGCGCACAGCGCACAGCGCACAGCAGACGCAGCACACAGCGCACAGCGCACAGCAGGCATGCAGCAGGCAGCAGGCAGCAGCAGCTGGCAGCAGCAGCAGGCCGCCGCGCACGCGGTTACACAGTGTGTCTCACAGGCTGTTTATCATTCCCTCTGCATCGCACTGGATGATCTCAGCTAGCCGGCAGTCCCCGCCTGCCGTCCACCCGCTAAACGTCCTGTTCCACGCCGCCGCGCACTCCTGCAGCACCGCCGCTGCCACACAACGCGGGAAACGCGGGGAATTGCGGACAATTACGGGAAATTGCGAGCAATGCGGCCAACGCGGGCAACGCAGGAAGCGCGGCAGACAGCGGAACGCACAGCCGAGGGATCACGGGATGACAACGGTCGCAATGGGATGGAGGGGGTGTGAGGCAATGCCGTTGGCTAAATCCGCACAGCATTGCACGTTACCGCACAGCACCACTGGACAATCCCCCACCTTGGGACGCCTGTAACGGAACTGCGCTACAGACGTGCGCAAGAGGCGCCATTGTCGCTACCATCAACACCAGCGCGGCACGCGCGCGCAAAGCATGACGAGCGGTAAAGCCCCGCCATCCGCGCTCGCCCCCCGCCATATTCCGCCCATTCACACCTTCTCCCAGGCGGTTACATCTCAACGAAACGGCTCTCGAAAAGGCTCTCGGGATGAGCGTTGATCGCTCCGCCATGGTTTCCCTGTCGTAGTAAGTGTGGCATTGTCTAGAGGAAAGCATGAAAGAAAGTGAGGGTCGAAGCTCCCTCTGAGAGTGGTTCTGGTGGTGTGCTGGTGGTGGTGCATGACGAGAGTGAGTGTGGTGCATGGTGTGCTGGTGGTGGTTACCGTATCTGATCAGGTCAGGGACTCAGGGACCGAGAGATGAGAGATGATTGGCTGGAAAGAAGGCCAGGGCTCATTTCTCGTTACTGGGGGTATTGTTTGCCTGGTGGCGAGATGGGCCGGGTTGTAATTTCACAAACCCTTCGCTGCAAAGGTTCTGACGAACCCTCCCTGATTCAAGAAACAGTCATAAATATACGCATTTCCGCGTGCTGAAACATGGCTGCTTTTAAGCAGTTGGGTTGCGACGGGCTGCTTATCGGTACTATGGCAAGACGGTGTCGGTTTTATGTAACATGGGTCATGGGTTACACGGCAGTTCGATGGTTATACCGATGTACGAAGATTTGGGAACCTGGCCAGATGACTAGCGAACGCCGCTAAGAATTTCGAACAAAATAAGGGTTCGGGAAAATCGTCAGGATAGCCGGGGACACCGTGGTATTACGGCTAAGTTCTCCAAGGTTAAACGACGCACACGGAGTGGGAAAACGGCGGAAAGTATGCTACACATATCTCCCATGGCCGACTACAAATCGCGAAATCCAGATACAATCAGGTGGAGAACAAAAAAGAAGAAACTATAAGAAGAAACTCTTGTCCTCTCAAACAACTCATGGGATAACACCTTCCGAACGAGAGGCCTGAGGCCACAGTCCCACGCAGCCAGTGACCCTGCACCATGGATCGTGGCTGTGAGTGTGTGGTGGTTGCGAGGGTGTGCCTGAAAAATCACACGCGCTTCCGTGATCAGGATAACACGCGGAGAGTTCAACGTTCATAGATACACTCCCGCGATTCTGGTGTTAAAGCCGCGGTGCAGATATCTCTGCGCCAGTTCAAAGTATTATAGCTTGAAGGGCGCGTTACCCAGTATACACTGGAAGTCGAGCAGGCAGAGCATTCTGAGAGCGGGGGAAGGTCGTGCGGAAAAGTGCCTCGCAGCATGAAGGGGGGGCCAGGCATCAAACTTGAAACTTGAAACTTGAACTCAAAACTACTCAAACTCGGCAATCTCTCGCGCTAGGCTAGGTTACTACTAACTTGAAGTGCCTTCCCGTAGGGCTACTGAGAGCCATTCGCCTCATATCTATCTCTCTTCTTCGCCTTTTAGTGTGCGCTCGAATATCTGCGCTATTTCGTACCTCAAAAAACACCACGGCAGTCGTACCCGTAGCGCATTGCGCTAGATTTCCTCCGCTGTCGTCGTTCAGTTTTCCCTCTCCCGTCCCTCTATTTCTCACGAATCGGCGGTGGCAAGCAGCGACGATGGCGACAGGCAGGATTGGGTGCGACGGTAGCCAGCAGCGGGGCGACGATAGCGAGCAGAGCGGCGACGGTAGCGAGCAGGGTTGCGATGGCAGCGAGCAGGGTTGCGACGGCAGCGAGCAGGGTTGCGATGGTAGCGAACAGCATGGCGACAGCAGCGCAATGACGATAGTGAGCAGCGATAACGACAGTAGCGAGCAGCGGGGCGACGTTAGCGTGCAGCAGGGTGTCGTTAGCGAGCAGCGGGGCGAAGCATCTGTTCCGACGGTGGCGAAGCATCTGTTCCGTCGGTGGCGAAGCATCTCGCGTCCAAACCTCGCAAGCGGCTTTAGCGAGCGATATTGGTAGCGATGCGGCGAAGGCAAGGGTAGCGAGCAGACAGGGCCGGAATGGGAGAGGAGGACAGGGGGAAAGGGTGGGAAGAGCAGCGATCGATGCTATAGGCCCCTGTCCTTCTTTCCCTTTCCCCCACTCCTTCTATCCCTTCCCCCCTGTCCTTCCCTCCTTTCCTCCATGTCCTTCCCACCCTTTCCCCCTGTCATTCTCTCCCTTTCCCCTTAGTCCTTCCCTCCCTTTCATCGTTTTCGTTCCTCCTGATGCTTAATCCTCCCCCCTGTTCTTTCTGCCCCGTCCCCCTATCCTTCCCTCCCCTTCTTCTCCCTCCCTCCTTTCCCCTCTCCCAACCCACTGCTCCCCCCTGCTCTCATCCGTCCCCTTGCCCCCATTCGTCCCTTTTCCCCCACTACCGTCGCTGCTTTTCCTGCTCATTTCCCCCTTTCCTGAACCCTTCCTTTTCCTCTCTCACATCCCTTCCCGTTCCCACTATCCCATCCCACCATTCACCCTTCTGATGGCCATCCCTTTCCCTCCTCTCCTGTCCCTCCCCTGTCCTATCCCATTCCCCCTGTCGCTTTCTCCTTCCCCCTGTCCTATCCCATTCCTGTCCTAGTTCAAGCGTGAGAGATTGTTTGTTCCAGGGCATTCCCCCCTGCCACCATCCCCCATGGCACATCCTCCTATGCCACACCTTCGGTTTCACGCCTCCCCATTCCCGAACTCCCCTTGTCCGTCGATACCTTAGCCTCTTGCCCTTCCCAGGAGGCAGGATTGGGCGCGACGGTAGCAAGCGGCTCGCTCCCACCGTCTCTCCACCACCAATCCTCCTCTCCCCCACTCCCGCCGTCCCTCCTTTCCCCCGTTACCGTTCAAACCTTCCCCCCGTCCCCGTCCCTCCTTCCATCGGTGTCCGTCCCTCCTTCCCCCACCATCCACCCTTTACCCTACCCTTGTCCTTTCAAGGCATCCCCCGATTCCTAAACCCTTCCTTTCCCTTTCTCCCATCCCTTCCCTTTCCCCCTATCCCATCCCACCATTCACCCCTCTCCCGGCCATCCCTTCACCCACCCTACTACTTCCCTTCACCCACCCCACCACTTTGAACCTTCGCGCACCCCACTGTTTCTGCCAACCCTCCATTCAATTTCCCCATCGAACATTTTTCACTTCTACGGCTGGTGTCCTTCCCTACCCCCCTCCCCCCCTGCTATCGGTGGACAGCTGCATCAATAATGGATCAGAGGGGTGTGAAGTTTAGCTCATCTTGGAGATGCCATGTTGGATTTAAAGACACTCATGTTTGCCTGCCATGTGTACATTCGTTGCACCCCAAAAAAAAAGAAATGAAACAACCACCCCAAACTTTGATATTTCTGAAATCCTAGAATGTGCCTTTGAGTCGCAGAATATTATATTTGTGTAGTACTCAGCTTATTTGAAATACAAACTCTTTCGTTATGCAATGTAGAGATGACGGCGTATTCATGGGTTCCGATTTTCGCGTTGTCGTGTGTGTTTCCCCCTTCCCTCCCCCCACCCCTTCCCCTTCCCCCTCACTTTCGAGGTTCGCGACGTTCGCCTCAGTTGTTTCCTTTTTCTCTTCATCGCAACATTATCTACTCTCTCGCTAGCCAATTGGCGACCAGGAAGGAACAAGACAAAAAACTGTTCGTCACTGTTCCTAAGATATCCAAAATGCACAATGGCCAAGGCCAAGTGTACACCCAACATAGTAAGCTACGGTATGTACATCAAAAGTGGAACAGCCATCGTGAGTTGGGCATACGATAATACGGTACATGAGACTTGATTTACATAGAAATAAATCCACAAGCTGGAAATAAATTGCACACCACACCAACACTACTAAGGGTACATTCCGCTGTGGACACATGTCCCAATCGATGTGTCCCAATCGTTTCTACCGCACTGCATCGTATTACACCAAATTGCACCCTAGTTTCGAAATTTTCGCGTCTCTGGTTTAGTTCGGTTCGGAGCGGTACACTCGATTGGGACACATCGATTGGGACATGTGTCCACAGCGGAATGTACCCTAAGAAAACCTGAACGTCCACCTCTCTCCCCTGTACATCTACGCTACGGTACATTATTCTCACTCTAACTAAATCCTCCCCAACTCCTCCACCCTCCCTCCCCCCCCACACCCCCTCAACCCCTACCACAAGCACTCCTATGGTTCATCCAGCAACCCCTGCTCCAAATCTCCCTGCAGGGGAGCATTGGCAGGAGCAGCAGCAGCAGGGGGGGGTTGCATTGGGGCTGCCGGCGGCAGGGAGCGCCTTACGGCCTCGAGCTGATCGCGCACGTGAGAGAGGCGCGGGCGCATGGAAGGCATTGTGGTGGTGCAGGAGAGGCCGAGGGAGACAAGGCGGCGCAGCAAGTCGTATGCGATGGGCATCTCAGGATCCCTTAAAGCCGCTATGTCGTTCGCATCCACGTGCTGGGACGCCTGTGGGGGGGGTGGGGGGGGTTGGGTGGTGGGAATAGGAGGGAAGAGGGGGTGTGGAAGGTGGAGGGGTTGCTGTTGGGTATGGTAGTTGGTAGAATGGGGATGGATAGGACAAGGTGGGGGCTGGGCAAGACAGCTAGTTGAAAAATGCGGCAGAGTGTGTGTGAGAGCATGCTGGGTGAGAGGAGGAGGGGGGGGAGGAGGAAGTTTGGTAACCAGGAGGGTGAAATTGCTGAGTTTGGATTGGGGCTATGCAGAAAGAAGCTCTGCTGCTGGGGAATATGAAGGCAGTGAGAAAGACGTGAGATGTGGGAAGAGGGAGCAAGGGTCGAGGGGAAGAGGGAGGAGAAGTCGACTCACCCACTGACTGATTGACATCTGGCGGTCAGTAACCACGAGAATGGCCCTGCGACCAGTCAGCACCTCCAGCATCACCACACCGAAACTGAAGGGCGGCAAGATGGGGGAGCGGCAGGGGGAGAGAGAGTGGTCTCAGTAGGAGAAGCCGCAGAGTAGTCATACGAGAGGCTCAAGCATGTTCTTGTCCGAACGCTCGTACAAGGAGTTTTTTTTTGCATAGTACAAGTGCGAGTAGTAACCAGAGTAACCAGAGTGCGCGCGCGCGCGCGCACACACACACACACACACACACACACACACACACACACACACGCGCGCGCACGCACGCACGCACGCACACACCCACACACACACGCACGCGGACACAGAGATTCCAAACTTAACATAAAAAATGGGGGCGACATACCTGTACACATCAGACTGAGGGGTTGCCACATGTGTCTTGGCATAGGAGGGATCCACGTAGCCTGGCGTGCCCACCACTCTCGCACCATCCTCCCCACCGCTCTCCACCACCCTCACAAACCCAGCGTCAACTAGTTGAGGCTGTTAGCAAGACGAAGAGAGGAGAGGAAATAGCCAGAAATCAGCCCATGATTTCATAACATCAAGTCACATCACCACACCACAGCACATCAAATTTTACACCCACGAAGCAGAATGAAATTGTGACTCTGTGCAGATCTTTATGCATTTGTTAAGCGGGATAACATGGGACGGGGGGGAAGTGGGGCGGACCTGCAGGTGGGTGTCGAGGAGGACGTTGGAGGGCTTGACATCGCGGTGCACGATGCCACTCGCATGCCGACACTCCAGCCCCCTCGCCACCCCCGCCAGAATGCCCACCCTCTCGCCCAGACTCAGGGGTGCCTGTGCACCTGGGAGCGGGGCATGGAGGGAGCGAGTTACGGAAGAGATGATGACAGTGTGGCGTGGGCAGCAGCTCCTGGGGGGTGGTGCGTGCGACTCCTGGACAAGAGGAGCTGTGCTTGTGTCACGTTTGAGAAACCTCACATGTGAGTACCGTACCGTGTAGATTGCTCAGGCGCTTGGGACAGGCAGAAAGCACTCGCGGAGGTTCACTGCGCTAGTGCACACACGCAGTTTGGACATGCAGGGTACAAGCTTCATCCACCCATGGCGTGGGTTGTTATGCAACTGCCAAGTGCGTTCCTATGAGCCTCAACCGCGCATATCAAGCAAAACCAGGGCGACTATTCACCTGGCGTTACTGACCGTTTGTCTAACGGTTTCGTTTTTTTGTTCCTTCTTTCTGGGTTTCATTTTTTTTCAGATTCCCAATGCGACCGCCCACCTGGCTGTATGCGTTGCTCTCAAGGCCCATCTAGCCGCCCACCTGGCCTGAGGCGTTTCTCGAGGTCGCCGTGAGGGAAGAGGGGGTAGAGGGTGACCTGCTCCAGCGCACTGGGCGTCATTTCCATGCAGAACCCCACCAGCCGCACCACGTTTGCATGCCGCACTCCCCCCATGCGCTCCACCTGCCATGCCGTTCCGTGCCATGCCAGGCCAAATGCAAAGCAGAGGAAACAAAAAGCTGAGCAACAGATTCAGAAGAAAAATAAAACAAACAAACAAACAGACAGACAAACAAAAAAACAAACAAACAAACCACTTCCACAGTTCCCCCGTGCACACACCGCTTTCTTGAAGTTATTAGCAAGGACGCGGGCGCGGCTGACAGTGAGCACAAGCCCCTCATTGTAGGGGTCCACGCCCTTATACACATCATTGAAGCCACGCGCCCCCAGGCTGTTCGCCTCCGCCCAGCTGTCCGTGGCTGCCCGCACCTCGTCCAATGTGAACTCCCTGAACGCCGCCCCGGGGGTGGATGCCCGCACCGCCACTAGTAGGGGGGAGAGGAGAGGAGGAGTGGGGGGTGCAGGGAGGAGGTGCGGGAAGTGGGGGGGGAGAGGGAGGTGGGAGGTGGAGAGGGGGATGGGGGAGAGGGGGGTTCAGGGGAAGGGAGGATTGGATTTGCTGGTCGTTTGTGCGGCTGACAGTGAGCACAAGCCCCTCATTGTAGGGGTCCACGCCCTTATACACATCATTGAAGCCACGCGCCCCCAGGCTGTTCGCCTCCGCCCAGCTGTCCGTGGCTGCCCGCACCTCGTCCAATGTGAACTCCCTGAACGCGGCCCCGGGGGTGGATGCCCGCACCGCCACTGGTGGGGGGGGGGCGGGGAGAGGAGGAGTGGGGGGCGTGTTTTGAGGCGCCTTGTCTGTGGCTGCTCACACCTGATCCAATGTGAACTCCCTGAACGCTGCCTTGGGCTTGGATGCGCGTACCGCCACCACAAGTAGGTGGGGGGGGGGGAAGGGGCGGGGGGTGCAGGGAGGAGGTGGGAAAAGGGGGACATAGACACATCCCTACCAGTGCCATGACATCAACCCACATGCATACCCCACATTCTCCCTTTCCAGCCACGCACGAACAGAAATCCGCAAGACAAGGAACCAAAACTCATCTCTACCAGTGCCATCATCCCACATAATCCACTGGCATTCCCCCCTTCCAGCAGCACACCAACGCCCCACCAATCAGCCCACAGCAAAATCCATGCCCATCCTAGATATACGGAACATTCCCCCTCCTGCCTGCGCTCACCAGCAGCACGGGCAGCGCCGCAGTAGCGCCACACAACGAGCAGCAGCAGCGCCACCAGCGCCGCCACCCCGAATGCAGCACCAACGGCAATGCCGGCAATGGCGGCGGTGGAGAGAGAGGAGGAGGAGGATGGTGGCGCGGGGGCTGGTGGGAGGACAGATGGTGGTGCTGGTGATGTTGGCGGTTTTGCTGATGGGAGTGAGGTAGATGGCAGGGCGATGGGTGCAGATGTGGGTGGGAGAAGGCACAAGCGAAGAGAGTGAGTAAGTGAGGGAAAGAGTGGGTCCAGCAAAAAAGAGAGAAGGTGGAAAGACGCCTGATATGTCGCCTAGAGAAACAAACACCAGGTACTGGAGGGCCTCAACACATAGCAGACCTACATAACAGACCAGGCACTGGACGGACAGTCTCGCAATGCAGGGTAGCAACAGGACGTCTCAAAATAGACGTCTCAAAAGTCTCAACACATAGCAGACATGCATAACAGACCAGGCACCGGACGGACAGTCTCTCAACACAGGGTAGCAATGGGACGTCTCAAAATAGACGTCTCAAAAGTCTCAACACAGACCTACATAACAGACCAGGCACCGACAGACGGTTTCAACACAGGGTGGCAACAGACCACACACAAGTGGAGTGGAACCAGTTTTCAGTTGCTGCCGCATGGCTGCGGCCGGGGCTTACCAGAACCCACTGTGCAACGACAGACAGAGTCCTCATTTACACACTCGTAGAATTGGCCTGATGACGGGCAGAAGCTGCCTGGGAGGAAGCTGCAGGAGAGAGGAGGAGGAGCACGAAGCCGTGCACGCAGGGGAGGAGAGAGAGTGGATGGAACGAGGAGGAATGGGGAGCATGGGGAGATGGAATTGTGGCATGCACGACTGGGCTGGTCTGGGATGGGGTGGACAAGGCAGCATATGAATATGAATAGGGTGGCGAGAGTTCGCAGTTGAATGCCGTGGACGCACCAAAGAGAGGCAGCGCGCACGCGGGGCGGTGAGACAGTGTGAGTGGCAGGTTGAAGGTGCATAAAAGGTTCGGTAGAGTGGTGGTGTCGGTGGGGGTGTAGGGTGTTGGTGGGGTGTAGGGTGTTGGTGGGGTGTAGGGTGTAGGTGGGGTGTATGGTGCTACGTTGGCAGATACGCCTTGGGCAGGGTTGCGTACCACGTATATACGCTTGCGTATATACGTGATACGCTAATACGCTCGTATTTCTTGGAAATACGCCCGGGCAGCCCGCCGAATTTTTTTTTTTCGAAATTGAAAATTTTCGCGAATGTTTTGCGACTTCGCGATTTGTTACCGCGAAGTCGCACATCGCCCAACCCACTTCTGAAATTCAAATTTTGAGCTCCAAACCTCCCACCACCCCAACCACACACCACCCCACCAAACCTCTCATCTCCAACCATCCCTCTCAAATGGTGTTCAGCAACTCGTCTGCTCATATACTGAAAGACGAGTTCCATTCTGTCATTCAGTTTTCATAGTTGTTTTCATTCCCGTAGCTCTCTTCTCCCCTTTTTCCTCATGGCGTCTAACTCCACCCCTCCTACTACGACGAGCAATGTTGCCTCTGTTCACGCGTCCAATAGCGAAATCAATGCGGAGCCTGTTGAGGCTGGCCTTTCGAACCCCATTTTGAAACATTTCCTTATTCCGTACCATACCAAAGGCACTCCCAAGATGTGTAAGTTTTGTGACTTCACGTTTGAGGGCGGAACCACTCGTTGCGCGGTTCACCTAGCGAAATGGAAAGGGCAGGGTGGACGCGCTGTCCGGCTTTGCAAGAAGGTGTCCCCGGCAGTCAGTGAAGAAGTGCGCGGCATGTACGAGGAGAAGGCGGAAAAGCAGGGCGTCAAACGAGGGGCGGCCGCTGCAGCTATTGACTCCGCGCTGGGCGCGGTTATTGATTCTTCATAGAAGAAGGGGAAGATTACGTCCTTCTTCGGCGATGAGGCAGCGTGCGCCAAGGAGGACGCGGATAACGCCCTCTGCCTTTTGATCGCGGCGTTGAGACTTCCCGAGCGCATCGCGGACGACCCAGTGTTCCGCTACGCTGTCCAGTGCATTGCGCGCGCTGGATCAGGGTACGTCCCCCCCAATAGGCGCTTCATTGGAGGGGCGGGCTTGAAGAAGGTGCGGCAGAAACTGGAGGAGGCGCTCGCCCCCGTTGCCGCGAGCTGGAAGCGTGACGGGGTCACCGTGTCGTCGGACATGATGACTGACCGTTGTGGCTGCTCGCAGGCCAACGTGCTCCTTGTCAACGACTCCGGCGCAGTTTTCGAGCAGGCGATCGACTGCCAAATGGAGTCGAAGACCGGGGGTTACATCGCAAGCCTTCTCCGCCCCGTGATTGATAAGGTGGGGCCGGAGAATGCGGTGGCGATCTGCACCGATGGGGGCAGCAACTATGCCTCGGCAGCCAGGAAAATTGCGAGCACATGGCCGCACATTGAGCAGGTGCCATGTGCCACGCATGTCCTCGACCTTATGATGGAAGACGTGGGCAAGATGGGATGGGCAAAGGGGCTCGTGGAGAAGGGGGGGATGATGATAAATTTTGTGCGCAACCACCACTTCACCCGTGCATACATGAAGAAGGGTGGGGGGAAACAGGTGCTTAAGCCCGCGGGGACCAGATTCGGGACGCAGTACATAGCTCTGGCCCGGCTATGCGAGGTGAGGGGTGGGCTGGCGAAGATGGTTCTCAGCGACGAGTGGAATGAGTGGGCAGCGGCGGACAAGGACAAGAAGATTGTAGCCGACAAGTTCAGGGCTGCCGTGATGGATGAGGAGTGGTGGGGGCTGGCGGGGTTTTTTACCTCTCTCATGGCGGTGCCGTTCAAGGCCATGCGGGCCACGAACTCCTCGGTGAAGGGGATGATGGGGAAGATGTATGATATCATGCTTCAGCTTACCGAAGACATGAATGACAAGTTGGACGAGGCAGACGACTATTTGACTCGGGCGGAGAAGACAGATATCACCAAGATTGTGAATGACAGGTGGGACAACTCCCTTGCCTGCCCCATGCATGTGGTTGGCCGGATCCTGAATCCGGCCAACCAGGTGGAGGGAATTTTCAGGAACGATGTGGAGTGCACGCGAGTGTTCAAGGCCTACATCGAGCGCCACTACGACAACAAAACCTTCAGGCGTGGCAAGGATGACGCCCCTCGCCGCGCCTCCCTTGTGCTGCAAGAGGCATTGCTGGCCTACATCAACATGGAGGGCAGCTATGGCACGCCGGGCGCCATATCTGCAAGGGAGGCAGTGAAGAAGGGGGAGATGAGCATGGTGCAGTGGTGGTCGTGGCACAGCACCGAGTACCCTGAGCTGGCCGCCCTCGCATGCCGGGTGCTCACTCAGCCCGTCTCGGCTTCCCCATGCGAACGTGGCTGGGCGTAGTGGGAAGGCGTCCACACCGCTCGCCGCAACCGGCTCGGGTCCGCCAAGTGTGCGGACCTCGTCTACATTGCGCACAACTGGAACGTTGTGCGTAATTGGTACAAGAAGGATGGGGGCAGCACGGTTGTGCCCGGTAACATCCCGGATGCCCCTATCCCTCGCGGCTACAACATGGACGAGGAGGAGGATGACCTGCTGGGGGCGGAAGGAGAGGATGCAGTTCTGGCGGATGAGTATGGGGCAGGGGTGGTGTTGGAAAAGCCCCGCAAGGAACTCGGCTGTGTGGAGGCTAGCTAGAGGGTGGGGTGGGGATGTATGGGGTGGGGAGAAGTAGCCCCAAAGATGTATCTCTGGATATTTATGAAATTAAATTATGACATGTGAGTTTGGGAAACATAACCCCCCCCCCCCCCCCTTGAACAGGTTTTTTTAGCCCTGCCCGGGAAAAAAGTTTTACCTGCCCGCCCAGCGTATTTTTACGTATCACCAGTACGCCACCCCTAGCGTACCGCGTATATACCCAGCGTATAATACGCTAGCGTATTATACGCGATACTCGTATCTGCCAACGTAGGTATGGTGTAGGTGGGGTGTATGGTGTAGGTGGGGGTTAAGTGGGTAAATGCGAGCAGGCAGGCATGCGGGCTTACAATTCCAAGCGCTGGTTCAGAACACTCATTTCGCTTGGAATAGTTCCACTTATGTTGTTGCTGCCTGCCAAATTCCTGACATGCCACAGCATGATGAGGTGGTGGTGGTGGGGGAGGAGGAGGAGGAGGAGGAGGAGGAGGAGGAGGAGGAGGAGGAGGAGGAGGAGGAGGAGGAGGAGGAGGAGGAGGAGGAGGGAGAGAGTGAGTGGGATCACAGCATGTGAAGGGGATCAAGAGAGTGAGACAATAGCTGCGAAATAGGAAAACGGAAAAGGGAGAGAGCCAAGGCCGAACTCCACTGGTACGGGGGAACAGCCAGCATGAGTGCACCTGTTCAGCTTTTGAGGAGCCTCAAAAGCAATCGCACACTCGTTCGTACGTGGGAACTGCCAGGAAAACGTGTACCTGTTCAGGTAGCTCTCACTCGCTGACTACATGTTATTGGCCCTGTGGTCAGTCCATCAGATCAATCCACCCATGCGGAGTGCTTCTCTCACCTCACCTGCTGTCATACATGCAACCCAGACCACGCATGCCATACCCATCCACCATGCCCCATCCACCATGCCCATGTTCACAACGGGTGAACTCGTACATCGTCAATTCTCCCTTACAGGTGGGTGAGGTTGCGAAGATTAGACAGCTGGGATGGGATGGGTCCTGACAGCTGGTTGTTGGACAGGTCCCTGAGGGCATGGAAGAGCATGGGGCAGACGAGAGAGATTGATGAAAGAGGAAACGTGAGTAATGTGGGCAAAAGAAACATCGGCACAACATGTAAGGGTGTCTAACAGAAGCTTGCTAAAGAAGATGCAAGAGGCGACTTGTGAGTGAGTGGACACAGAGGCAGCCAGAAGCACACGGACATGAAGAGCAGAGATGTCTACACACTTCAAGCTGAAACAAGAGGTGACTTGACTTGTGAGTGGACACAGAGGTTTACAATCGATTCAAAGTTCTGGCAGAAGGACGCACGGGGATGTTCGGTGCGGTGCGGTGCGGTGCAGTGAGACAGGAGAGTCAGAGCAGACACATGAAGTTCGTGTGCAGAGTTTGGTGGACACATGCAATGACTTACAGTCGCACTAGCTTTGTGAGATTTCCGATGCGTTCGGGAATGGATCCATTAAGACTGTTGTCCTGCAGGAGGCTGCAAGCAAACCAAGAGCAGCGCGCAAGCAAGCATGCGCCGAGACGGAATCAGTGAAGACTGTTGCTTGTTGGTTCTCCTCTCCTGCTGCAGTCCAGCAGTTCCCAGCTAATCCAATCTACTCCGTGCTTACCCAAGCCCCGGCTGGATATACTCCCGATCAACAGACAGAAGGGTATGAGCGAGGAAGGCATGGGGGTTCTGCGGTTCTGGTCGTTGAGACTTCTCAAGAACCAATGGAGGAAGGCATGATGACTTTGTAGAGAAATGCCCTGGAGCTGTTTCTGTTCTGAGGCGCCCTACACATCAGCGGGGTTTCATTGCACATCGAGTCTCATGGTTCCCTCTCCATGCACCATCACATGCTGAGTTCCCTCTCATGCTACCCGCTCCACTAAAGGCTCCAACACAGGGTGAGGCTAGGGGAAGAGGGGACCTCGGCTCTCATGGCCTCTGCCTTGGATTGCATGCAGGCTTCAGCAGCAGGCTTCAGCACATGCGATGGGTGGAATGGATAGAGTAAGGGAGAAGCATAAGCGCTGCTGTGCTGCGCTCTGCTGCACTGACAGCTAGCTGCAAGTGCGTGCCGTGAATGACGCACAGTTGTGAAAGGTTGTCGAGGCGGGAAAGGTCTAATGGGATTGACCCTGAGAGATTGTTGTTTGCGTGGGCCCTGGGGGAGCACGAGGAGAGAGAGGGGAAGAGGGGGAGGAGTCACAGAGGGTTAGACGTTCCTTATGGTTCCTCCATGAAAGCTATGCCCTACGACATGCATCCATCATGCACACCCCCCATCATGCCCCATCATGCATGCACCATCATGCATGCCCCATCATGCACGCCCCATCATGCACACATCCATCGGTGCCTCTAAGCACAAGGCAAATTGACGGGTCCCCCATCCATGGAGGCACTTGTGCTGTGGACGCAGCAGCTGGTGTGGTGAACACCACCACAACCACTCTGGCGAGGAAGATTTCTCTGTTCCTAGTCGACTCAAAAGTCACCTCGGAAGCAGCGACTGAGGACAAGCACAACAAGTTAAATGGGGCAGGCAGGCAGGCAGGCAGGCAGGCAGGCAGGCAGCTTGTGCGCGTTGTGATGATAAGCGAGGGGCAGGGCCAGCAGCAGACGGACAGACGGACGCCTACAGCTCCCAATTAAAGCCAAAGTTGGTGTCGCCCCCTGATGCTACTTGCAACGCAATGGAGCCAGAAAGGGCGTTGCCCTCTGAGTCGAGTTGAAATATGACTTTGGAGTCGATTCACAATCGACTGTTGAGTGAGTGGACTCAAAAAGATGGCAGTGACTCACAGCTCTCTTAATTGGCGTAGTGCGCAAATGCTGCTTGTTATGGACTCATAAAGGCCGTTGCCTTGCAAGAAGCTGCAGAACGCAACAACGCACGTGGGGATGAGAAGGAAGTGCAGGGGGCAAGGCTGAAACCAACAGCAGCAGCAGCAGCAGCAGCAGTAGAGTGACACGCATCGCAAACACCAGGTAGAGGCAGCCTCATCTCACGTTCCCATACAGCAGAAGCACGAGTAAACAGCAGGAGCTGCAGCAGCATAAGATTGACATTTTACGCGCCTCAAACAAGGAAGGTGCTGCTGCAGGAGCATGCGGTGGTGCCAGCGGCGCACCAAGAGGCAAACAGAGGGTTGGACGTACAGGAATTGAAGGTTCCCCAGCTGCTTCAAACTTTCCGGAATAGACCCATCAAGAGAGTTGATGCCCAGGTTGCTGCAACGGCATTGGCAGAGTGGGTGGAGGGCGCACGGAACGAGCAAGGGAGGGAGAAGCAAGGGAGAGAGCTGAGAGTGTGTGCGGCACATGTTCTTCCTGGTGTGGACCTTTTGTGGCGCTCCACAAGACCCATGCCCGGCGTTGTTCCCCCATTCATTAAAGTCCGCAAAGGGACTGCTCACGTAGGTAGATGGTTGGTTGGGCAAGCCAGCAGCGGCTTGTCAGCTCAATCTCACGAGTCGAGCTGCGACGAGGGAGTCGATGAGCCGAGCCCAAACGTCGAGCTGTGGCCCTCCCAAGGTCATAGACACAGCGAGTCGTTCCAGGCCCATCCCATCAGCTCCGCGAATCATTCACAGAGTGCTGATGTGATTTAACGGTCTGACTTTTGAGTATGGCACTGAAAAGTCAGCTCGTACAATGTCGCATCAGCTTCATGGCTCATCGACAGAGTGTTGATAACATGCCCTTTCGGGAATAGCCATTGCCAGATCCCCACGTGTTTGGCACGCGTGCTAGCCTCTGTTTGAAGGGGAATGAATTAGATCGGCCGGAATAGCTCGTACCCAGCCACATCAGGCAAGCCAGTTATTCACGCGGGTTGGTCACAACCTGCCTAGGGTTGTCCCCCAACTCGACCAGCCTACTCGGTTCTGCTAAGCCCTGTGAATGGCTGCCTGCCACAGCACGAGGAGGCAAGTAGACTTCAAGTGCAAATGTAACAGGTGGAAGAGGGATATAAATCCTACAGGTGCGAGAGGCTGGCTTACAGGTATGAGAGGCGGAAGGCAAGGGTGAGGTCAGACGGGATGGAGCCTGTAAGCTTGTTGTTTGAGAGGTCCCTGGGGAGCATGAAAGGAGAGGAAGGAGGGGAGGAATGAGATACAGGGAGGAGTGCGAGAGAGGGTGGAATGAGTGTGACAGAGAGAGCGACGAGTGAGACAGTGGGATGGACGTGACGGATTGTAGCTCTTTCTTGGTGATGCTGCCATGGTTCCTCCAGGAATGCTATGATCCATCCATACCTCACGCATGCCCCGCAATGCATGCCCCACAATGCATGCCCCACCACGCATGCCCCACCACGCATGCCCCACCACACATGCCCCACCACGCATGCCCCACCATGCATGCCCCACCATGCATGCCCCACCATGCATGCCCCACCATGCATGCCCCACCATGCATGCCCCACCATGCATGCCCCACCATGCATGCCCCACCATGCATGCCCCACCATGCATGCCCCACCATGCATGCCCCATCGTACGCGCCTCACAGCACACGGAAGCGAGCAGAACAGTACCAGACCTGCACATGCCACGGAAAAAGAGATCGATGCATGCGGTCCTTACAGGTGGGAGAGGCTGGTCGCAGTGCCAATCTCAGGAGGGATGGCTTCTGAGAGCTGGTTGTATGAGAGGTCCCTGACGGCACATACAGGCGCATGGGGAGGAGCGAAGTCATATTGGAGACTTTACTGCTTCCGAGAACTCAAACGCTGAACCAGCGCTGAGGGAAGTGCAGGGAAAGATGCAGGGTGGTTGATGCACCCACGCACACACCCGCGCACGCGCGCACACACACACATACACACACACACACCACACTGTCGCATGGCTCTACTACTGTATATTGCTAATAGCATCTGACCCTTTCCCAACAAGAGCAGGGCACTGCAATGGATAGAAGATATGTATGGGAGGAGGGGAGTATGTGGTGTGGCACGCATACAGGTCCTTGAGGGCCCGCAGTTGGCCCATGGTGCCTGGAATGGCCCCACTTATGCTGTTGTAGCTCACGTTCCTGTCATGCCCATCAACCACACGTAATGGGCAGAGAAGAGAGTGAGTTCACAGCAGAGAAGAGCTGAGTGCGATTACGACAGAGGCAGGCAGGGAGAGTGGTGTCATGGTAGGGGCAAAACTATCTAGTGGTGTCACTCTTGCCATTTGCCCTGCTAATAGTCCCAACTACCTAGTCAGACCAGAATAGTTGACGGTGCCATGCCATGCCATTGTGCAGATTTACCATGCCATTTCCCTCTGTCTTCCATCCATGAGCCCATAACTGGATTCGCTACTCCCATTGCACTCTCAGCATCTCCCTCACTTCACTCCCCCACTGGTGCCCATGCACATCACATGCGCCCATCCAAACCAAATCACATGCTTGACTTGCCACATACCACCTTCACATCACATCACAGCACCACATACCATTGCCAACGAAGCACAGTGCCTCTCTCTCACTACCTTTGGGTGCATCTCGCATGGGAGCTCCCCTCCTCACGTTCCGTTTCCCCCGAGCCGGCGTCTCAACACTGCGCCAAAGAAGGCTTACTTGCCGAAACGCGTTCGCACGCACATCCCTCGCGACTTTTCCTCTTACCATTGTGCTATTAAGTCTTTCTTCTGATCATTTTTTTCCTCTCCTAGTTAAAAACTAGTTAGATCCACTTTAGACATGAGCGACCTCAGTTTTCTTGCTGCGATCAAATCCGCCTTTGAAACAACAAAGACGCAAGTAGACCAGAGCGGACCCGCACACGCCATAGAAAGGAGAGAGCAACGCAATCCTTACAGGTGGGAGAGGCTGGCCACATTGCCAAGCTCAGTAGGGATGGATTTTGAGAGCTGGTTGTGCGAAAGGTCCCTGCCAAGGCACAGTCAGGCGCACGGGGCGGGAGGAATGCAACACAGTGGCAAATACGAGTCATTTGGGAATTCTCAAAAGCCGCACTGATGCAGAGGGCAGCACAGAGGAGGATGCATGCAAGGCGTGTGGTGCACTGTGCTGCGCCCACAGTGACAGACCGAGATGCACACACACGCACATGCACACGCACAAGCACACGCACACAGTCAGACGCTGTCTGATGGCTCTCCTACCCTATGGTACTGCTGGAAGAGGTGACTTTTGAGTCGACTCAAATGTCTTCTCTCCTACCCTATGGTGCTGCTGGAGAAACAGAGCCTTTCCCAATACGACCAGGGCAATGGAACGGGAAGAGAGAGCGAGAGAGAGAGAGAGAAGGTATCTAATGAGAGGAAGGGAAGGGAGGATGTGGCGGGGCGGGCATACAAACTCGTGAGGGCCTGCAGTTGGCACATGCTGCCTGGAATAGCATCCACTATGCTGTTGAAGCTCAGGTTCCTGTCATGCCCACCAACCACACGGAACAGGCAAAGTGGGGTCACAGCAGAGACGAGCAGGGTAGGATTACAACACAGGCAGGAAGAGTGGTGCCACAGCGGAGGCAGGGAGAGGTTAACGAGTAGAAAGGAACACACTACACGGGATGCTCAGATATATCTATCCTGTTAGTGCTCAGGTTCCAAGATTCCTCCTGCTATGCCACCAGCACGAGGAGGAGAGACAAAGGAGGGCAGCAGCACCTTCAAAGCACCACCACTATACCACCACCACCTTCAGAGCACCACCAGCTGAGGAGGCACAGCAGCTCTCAATCTCACTCCCTTTGGGTAACTCCCCAGATGACAACTCTCCTGCTGCCTGCTCACGTTCTACCCCCTTGATCACTTATGAGTCGTCTCAAAAGAGTCTTCTCTCTATCTGTGGGTATGACTCACTCACATCACAACTCCCCTGCTCACCTGGCAAGTCCCACATCCCCTGGCTGACTCAGTTGCTTCAACTCAAGAACGTGTTTGGTCATGGCCTTACAGGTGCGAGAGGCCAGCCACGTTGGAAATATCAGGAGGGATGGATCCTGCGAGTAGGTTGTTTGACAGGTCCCTGCGGCAGCGTGGGTGGGAGGGGGAGCAGTGGAGGAGAGAGGGGACGCGAGGTGGGTGAGTGGGTGAAACATACAGATTCACTAGCATAAGGCCATTCAATGTTGGTGGTGGTGCTGTGCTGATTGTATTTGCTTCGGTGTTGCTGCTGAGCTGAGCTGAGCTGAGTGTTCCCAGTTTGTTTTTTCAGATTGCATTGCCTTGCACCTACCACCATTGCATTGTCCCCCGGATTTGGCCCTGATATTCCCCGCGAAGGTGCGAAGGAGGCGCGCTTTCACACACAACCTATATGGCTTTCCCAGCACTTCAATAAAGAGTGAGATAAAACAAAGCACAAAAATTGGGTGCGAATGATTCAACGTATGAGTGCTGCATGAGCAGCAGACAGACGGAAAGTGACTATGATGCTTGAATGACTGGAGAGGGAAGGAGAGGGCGGGGGGGAAGGGGGGAGTTAGGTCTATGTATGGGCCTTGCATGAGCAGCAGACATGGCTCCATACAGATCTTTAAGGCTGGTAAGCTGAACAATGCTGCTCGGGATAGACTCATTCATGTTGTTGGAACTCAGGTTCCTGCCATGCCACACACACACCCACCCACCCACACCCACACCCACGCCGCCAGGCCACCCACATGACCAGACCACGAACCCGCCGAAGAGGGGAGGATATAGAGGCATCAAGGGGCAGCAGCAGGTGAGAGGACGGGGACACAGAGCGGCTCAACAAGGGCTTGCCAGCAAAAGAAATGGTGACCGCTACAGCAGAGAACAGAAGTAGGATGCAATGAGATGAGATGAGATGAGATGAGATGACACGTGGCACAGAAAGAAAGTCTCGTATAGCATGGGCTGAGGTGAGGAGCACACCGGGGTCACAGGAGTATAGAGGTGCATCAATGAGGGGAGGTCTTATAGGAACAAGGGCAGACACAGACACGGGGGACAGGGAAGGTGGGGTCAGGTCAGCGGACCAAGGGAGGTGATCTCACTTTTTTTGAGGCGCCTCAAAACACGGGGGACAGGGAAGGTGGGGTCAGGTCAGCGGACCAAGGGAGGTGATCTCACAAGAAGGTGAGGAGTGACAACCTCCCGATGTCTGTTGGAATGGGGTGATTGAATTTGTTGTTTGCTAAGCCCCTGCAGCACATGCACACACACACGCACACACGCGCGCGCACGCGGCGCACACACACACACACGCACACACACACACACACACACACACACACACACACACACACTCCGCGCCCAACCCCCCCCACCCACGCACACACCCACCCTACCCTCTCCACACAAGTTACTTCCACCCACCCTCCCACCCAGTCCCATCCGGTTCCACCCCAGAACACACACATGCATGCGCATATAAGAGAAAAAGACAGATTTTAACATGCATGTGACTGTGACTTGCAGGAAAGTCCGGCATGCATTACGCATGTGGCTGTGAACAGCACAAAAATCTGCCATGCGGCATGGGGCAAGGGCCGTGCAGACGGCAATGAAATCTCACAATAGCGCCAGGCTTGAGGGAAGGATGGTGGCGTTGAACTGCGTCAAGCTGTTTGATGCCAAAATCCTGCCAACACGGTCAAGCGGGGAGGGGAAGCAGGGGGGATGATGGGGTTAAGATTGGGGTAAAAGTCGTATGGTTAGATTGGGGTAGGTGAGGTAGGTGGTTAGGTAACTGTATATTTTTCCGTGTCATATTAGGCTAGACGGGGATAGTTAGTTGAGGCTGGATGTTTCCACGTGAGGTGGAGTGGAGAGAGGGCGGATGAGGTCCGATAGGGTTTGATGCAGTGAGTGAGATGAGGAAGGAAGGAAGTGGGAGCCCAGTCCAGGGAAGATGCACGAGGATGTAGCAGATTGTAGTAGGCATGGGATGGGAGGGATACACAGGAATGGATGACAGGAGACTTGCTGAAGGCGGAGATAGACAGATAGACGAGGAGGCGCTGAGTGGGTGCGGATTGTAGAGATCATCGCCTAATTCTGGTTCAAGGGAACCAGAGAGAGCGATTCTTGGAGAGCGAAGACAAGGTTTGAGGCGCCTCAATAATCTTGGATAGTGAGACAAGTTTTGAGGCGCCTCAACAGTCTTTGAGCATGAGACCCGCGCAAGCGGATTCAAAACAAAGGATGAACGTCGCAGAGGATAGATTTTCGTGCGGCTGGAGAAGAGCAGCTGATGATGCGCGAGACACCATAGCACATGCGAGATGAACCGAGATGAGACGAGATGAGATGAGACGAGAAGTGGGATAGCCCATCCTCACAGAGAGTGGAGGGCGCTCACAGAGTAGTAAGCGTGTCCAAGGCGCTCAGAGACTCCGGAATGGGTCCGCTCAGCCCCTGACCCATCATATCTCTGCACAACCATAGCACGGCATGGCACGGCATGGATAGACGCGGAGATAGATAGCTCCAAGTGAAACGCGGTGAGGCAGGCAAGAGTGAACGTAAAACGCACTTCAGAGGGGACAGGTGGACCGAGATGGGGAGCGTGTGGAGCGTGCGAATGTGCAGTGCAAAGGATACGTTTGAGCGTTCTGGAAACAAGAGCGGTGCATGGTGTGTGCGTGTGTGGAGGGGGGGGGGGGGAGGAGGGGAAGGGAGGGGGGAGCGGGCTGGGGACAGAGATGGGCTGCCGGAAACAGGAAACGGCCTTGTGAAGATCGTTCGTTTTGCGATGGGGGACAAAGGCAGGCAGGGTAGGGATTTTAGTTCAGAGCAGGAGAACGGCCGGGGAGAGAGAGAAAGAGGAGAAGACGAGACGAGAAGGCGCACATTCTGACGACATTGCCGGACACGCATTGGATACCGCTTGCGTTCCATTTCAGCTGGTTCAGCGCGACAGCTGCAACGAAAGTATGTGGGGAACATGAGAGGAGGGAGAGGTTGGGGAAAGAACGAGGGAAGTAGCGTTTCGAACGACGGCGGACATATGGTGAAGGATACGGCGGGTCGGGAACGAGAAGGAGAAACGTCCAAAGAGGCAGGATAGATTATGCGGGGATGGGATGCTCCGATACTCTTGGAAAGCGACGACTAATGGGTTGCGCGAAAGCCCTTCGGGAGATGCTCAGGGAGACTCAAGACAACGGACTTTTAGAGCTACCGGAGTTTGAGTTAACGGACTCCTAGAGCTACCGGAGTTTGAGAACTGACTGACTTTGGGTATAGTTCGTGCAAGTCGTTGGGTAGTAGGCGGCGGGTTGGTCTTGCGCTGTCGCGTGGAGGAGCAAGATGCCTAAAACAGCAAACCACAGAATCAGAGCTGTCCTTCGCCGCGCCATGGATTCTTTGCGAGAAAGAGATAACACAAGAATCGTGTGTTTTGCAGCCTGTGAAACTGGTGGCAACCTAGTGTGACTGACGTTTGTAAGAGGCTCCCTTCAAAGTTTATGCTCAAGAAATGTGTGGGGCCGAGAGGATTCACGGAAGAGTTGTTCTCAAGGCATCATAAGTCTTGTGTGTGTCAGAATGTCGGTAGCTACAGACGCGCTACTCAGAGTGGATTTGGTACGTTAGTACGAACTCTATCCAGAAATACCTGTCACGAACATGCGTATCAAGAAACAAATCGCGGTACTGTAAACAACCCGGGGTCGAGTCCGAAACGCGATGAACACGCCTGGGGAAGTGCGGTTTGACTGGTTTGACTGCTTTCCACTCTGGCTCGCTGTTGTCTCTAGCATGGTCAGCCGGGAACGCAACGCCTCGCTGTTCTTCACCTTCCCTGCTGGCCAGGTCATAGGGTGTCTGGGAAGAACATCAGGAACGCGGATGACAATCATGATGTACACTACGAATCATGAACCATAGAAACTAGTGGCCACATAAGGATTAGGTACCTCTGAAAAATGCATCAATGCACTTGGTATTGATTATCCATACACTTTTGGCTGTTTCGCAAGGGGGCGGGAAGCTGGTAATTCGCTTAGAAAAGAGCCATGTAGGGGTGAGAATATGTGTGCGACACAAGGAAAACCATTATTTATAAAAAACCGACAAAGGATATGGGCTGCACGCCTCTTTTTGTTGGGCAAAAAAATCAAACTCTCAGAGTGATTCACAGGTTGTGAATCTCCTCCACCAAGACGCTGCATTCATGCTATCGTGCATTACCCAAATACCGTACATCAACACAACCGATACGGTAGTAAAAAGTATACATAAGTCCCATAAGCACCAACCGCTACTGTGGGCATCTACAACTCTGCTGTTGATTATCTTGGGTCCACGCCATCATCACCTTCCTGCTCTTCCTGCACATCAACCACAGCATGGTCCCTCTCCCCTCCCATCTGCACCGCTCGGCACCGCTCCACCACCACATCCAACTCCAGCGCCACTTCAGCCATGGTGGGGCGCAGGTCTGGATCAATGGCGGTGCAGCGCAGGGCAAGCAGCACAAGGTCCTGTGCTGTGTCCGTGGGGATGTGTAAAGACGCTTCACACACCTCCATGAGTGTGTTACTGTCCACCTTTTGGGATGCCTGTGAGGGTGTGGGCAGGCAAATGGAGGGTAGAAAGTATATATTTGAGGGATGAGAGGGAGGTAGGTAGCTTACTGTGGTAACCGCTAGTATACTTGCTGTTGTTTTTATTAGTGGTGATGGCAGTGAAGGCGGTGATGGTGGTGATCACGGTGGTGGTTGTGCATCGGGGCGACACAAGCAGGGGGCAACTATCATATATCGAAGACCGCACAGGTGGTATCCCGGTTGAGCAGGGCGGGTCTCACTCAGAAGCATGCATGTACTGTGACAAGCATGGCACTCACTGACTGACACCACAACACTCACCCACTGAGGGAGGGGTACAAGCCTGTCCCCATCCCGGAAGAAGCACTTGTGCCCTGACACCACCTCCAGAATCACCACCCCGAAACTGCACCACGAGAAAGCCACGACAGGCACACACGTGAACAAAGAAACGCACGCACAGACGCCTTCTTTTTGGCAGGGGAATAGCAGCACAGGCAGCAGACGCATCATGACTCGCACGACACAGCGACCGCAGCAAGGGGAACATGAGAACGAGCAAGGCGGACAAACTAGAGTAACACGCATGGACGCAACGGCAGCTGGTTGATCCGAGCACACCTGTACACGTCAGCAGAGGGTGCAGCAGTGAGCGACTTGGCATAGGCAGGGTCGAGATAGCCTGGTGTGCCCACCGCCCTGTCCCTGTCCACCGTGCCCTGCTGGGTTGACTTGATGAATCCATAGTCCACTATATGGGCCTGTGGGACAGGTGTGAGGAGGTGTGGGGAGGTGGGGGGGAGTATGAGGAGACACAAGGTGACTCTTGAGACGACTCAACAATCGACTCTGGCCTGCTGGGTTGAATCGATGAACCCAGAATCCACTATCTGGTCCAGAAAATAATGAAAGATTTTTATTAAGATTAGTAATTTGCTTATTTTTTTTCTCTTCTATTGTAGCTGGCAAGATATTTTTATATTGAATATCTATCGTATTTGAATTCTTTAATTTATTGTCTCTATATCTATTTTTTGCGATGGGTAATGTTGGAGCATCAACTAGCTTTGCCAGGGGACTCCCTATTAAGAAAAGGAGAAAAAACAAGGCTGGTTGGAGCACAGGAGGAATAGGGTGGCATGTGAGTGAGCGAGGAAAGGAGTGAGGGAGAGAAGAAGGGGGGGGGGGGGGGGGGAGGAAGGGAGGGAGGGAGGGAGGGAAGGGGGGCAGGAGGGCGGGAGTGGGTAGGGGGGGGGAGGGGGGGATGGAGAGTCGAGCGCCAACCTGCAGGTGGGTGTCGAGGAGGACGTTGGAGGGCTTGACATCGCGGTGCACGATGCCACTCGCATGCCGACACTCCAGCCCCCTCGCCACCCCCGCCAGAATGCCCACCCTCTCGCCCAGACTCAGGGGCACGTGGCCCTCCTCACTGCTGCTGCTGCCTGCAGACCGAGAGAGAGAGGGAGCAACGGAGAGACAGAAAGAGGTCGTGACGGTTAGACGGGAGGTGAGAGTGCGCAGACAACTATGGTTACAGCACCCATTTCAACCCAGCCCAACCCATCGTACGCATGTGATGCCATCTGATCCCCATGCATGCAGCACCGACTCAACCCTGGCTGCTCTCCCACCTGAGGCGCTGCTCTCAATCTCCAAAGTCCACTAACCTGGCCGGAGGCGTTTCTCAAGGTCCCCGTGGGCGAATAGAGGGTAGACAGTAACCTGCTCCATTTGCAGCGCACTGGGCGTCATTTCCATGCAGAACCCCACCAGCCGCACCACGTTGGGGTGCCGCACCGCCCCCATGCGCTCCACCTGCCATGCCGTTCCATGCCGTGCCATAACAATCAAGGAGGAGGGCAGCAAAGTCTGTTAGCATGGCACGGATGTAGAGTAGAGCACACGGGCAGGGCAGACCGAATACCAAAGGCTGAACCACAACCAAAAAGGCTCTGGACAACGCGGGCAGGCAGACCCACGGGTGAATTGAGAAGGCTGTCCGTCTGGCAACGACACATGCTCTTACCGACCGACTGCGAGAAGGTGCTGCAGAGCACGAGGTGACTTTTGATGAGTCGACTCTACAGACCCACGGGTGACCCAAGAGGGATGTCCATCCGGCAACCGACAGACTGCCTGATCGTGTTGCCGAGCACGCCAGTGCGGCACACGCCCCCTCCCCTCCCCCCCCCCCCCCCCCCCCCCCCCCCCCCCCCCCCCCCCCCCCCCCCCCCCCCCCACGGCACAGCAGGTAAGCTGAGGAGATTTTTGAGTCGACTCAGAAAAAGAGAGAGCACGCGAGTGCGGCACACGGCCCCCCCACGGCACAGCAGGTAAGTTGTGCCATGGCACTGGAGAGCGATTCTTGAGGTGCCTAAAACCATGAATCAACAGGTCAAGAGGGTCAACTGACACACAAACCGCTGCGTCGGCAGGCAGGCATGCATGCATGCATGCAATTACCGACTGCCTGAACGTGTTGGAGAGCACGCGAGCGCGGCACACAGTATGATCTTGAGGCACCTCAAAAACATACAACCGGCACACCAAGGGCTGCATCAACAGGCGCAACAGCCGTACGTACCGACTGCCGGAACGTGTAGGAGAGCACGCGAGCGCGGCACACAGCCCACGGCACAGCAGGGTTGCTGGGGTCGAACCCCCGGTACACATCAAACGAGCCCCGTGTCACCATGCGGCCACTTCTTGCCCAGTTGTCCGTTGCCACCTTCACATCTCCCATGGTGAGCTCTCGGATCGGCCTGTCTGGTGATGCGCGTCCCCCTGCTCCCCCTGCTGCTGCTGCTGCTGCTGCTGCTGCTCCGGATGCTGCTGCGGCGGCGGCGCCTGCTGCGGATGTTACTGGTGAGATTGCTGTCGAGGGGAGTGGAGGGGACGGTGTGTGGGAAGGGAAGGATTAGGAGAAGGGGCAGGTGATTGGTGGTGCGGTGGGGGATTTCAGAGGGAAATGAGTAACGAGGGTGGTTAATGTGAGAGGATTGGTTCTTGCGGATTTATAAGAAAGACCCGCGAAATGGAGGTGTGGGGAATTAAGTGTGGAGTGAAGGGATATGGTGTTGGGCAATCTGGGTGGATGGATGTGTCTGGAAGGAGGTGATGGGTCTCAAGTGAGGTTGATAAAGCATCACTTGCTGCACATGCACATGCACATGCACATGCACATGCACATGCAACACAGTTCAGCACACACAGAACACAACGTACCAGGAGACGAATTCTGCTTCGATCCTCTCTTCTTCCTCCTCTGCACCAGCAGCAGCACCAGCAGCACCAGGGCCACCACCAAACACGCGCACGCAGCAGCCAGCCCCACAATTGCACCCGCTGACAACCCACTGCTGCTGCTGCCACCACTCCCACCACTGCTGTTGCTGTTGCTGTTGCTGTTGCTGATGCCACTGCTGCTACTATCCAATTCACCAGAGCCCGTGACAGGAGGAACGGGCGGGGGGGCACTGCCTGGAGGGAGGTTGGTGGGCGGGGGAGGCACAGTGGGAGGGGCGGATGGAAGAGCAGGAGACTGTGGCAGGTCCGGGGAAGGAGAGGGTGGCTGTGGGCTGGATCCTTGAGAAACGGGTGCTTCATCACTTGCAGGCGCGGATGCCTCTGCGCTTGCAGGTGCAGGTGGCCCGTCGATTGGGGGAAGCTCGGGTGAAGCACTGGGAGGCGAGGAGCTGGGTGCGGCTGGTGACGTGGCGGAGGGGGGTGCGGTGAAGGGAGGGGGCTGTGACGGGGGGGATGTGATGGGCGGGGGCGTGGAGGGAGGAGTAGGCAGAATAGGAGGAGGAATGGGAGATGGGGAAGGATCAGGAGACGGGTTTGAGGGATTGGGTATTCGGTCTGGAGGTGGGGGAGGGCATGAGGGGAGCAGATGGGAGGGGGTTGGGGAAGGGGGAGGGAGCGCGGGTTGAGGTGAGGCGAGAAGAGATGAAGGGAAGTGAGGTGAGGTGAGGTGATGTGAGGTGAGATGATGTGAGGTGAGATGAGTTGAGAGAGTGAGGTGAAATTGTGGTGCATGCTTGTGAATGTGCGCATTCCTTGACGGGTGGGCGAAGACAGGCGAGAGGGACACGGGAAGAAGCGGCTCAAGAGGTGTAGGAAGAATCGATGTGCTGGGGGGTGCGCATGTGTGGCAGTGGTGCCCTGCCCCTCACAGTGCAGTGCATGCAAGCAAGCAAGCAAGGTGAGATGCCCGGTGTGAGATGTGAGATGTGTGATGTGTGATGTGTGATGTGCGATGTCGCATGTGAGGTGCGAGGATGCGGTGCGGAATGTGGCGTGTGTGGGCACAAAAGCGGCGCGGCGGACGGACCAGCAAAGCAGAAGTTGCAGAAGGGAAAGCACTTTAGGTACATGTCCGGCCCGCACTCCACTGCGCACCCGCTGAAGCTCCCGGGGCAAGCCATGTCCCCTGCCCTGCACACCATGCAGGAGACACACAGGAGAAGCTGGATTACTAAGGGGAGAGAGTGGGTCGGCCTGTGCAGTTTAGGACAGGCCGACCCAGGCAAGGGGAGAAGCAAGGAGCTTGACTCAAGGTGTCGCCGTCGTTTTGGAGCAGATACTTGCTACAATTGACCATGACCGAGTAAGGTTAAGGTTGGGGATGAGTGAGAACGAGAGCTCGGAAGATTAGGGGGGTTCGAATGACTTGAAGCGCAGCAAGCATGCTGCGCAGCGCATATCTTTGAGAATTCTCAAAAGGGATTCTGTCACAACAAGGTGAGTGCTGTGCTGCGTGGGGCAGGCAGGCAGGCAGGCAGGCAGGCAGGCAGGCAGGCGGGTGAGTGAGTGGGTGGCTCACAGGTGGAGTTCGGTGAGGGATGGCATGCGGGAGAAGCCAGGCACTGGGCCTGTCAGCTGCGTATCTGCCAACCCTCTGCGAGCAGTGCAAGTGGGGGGGTGGGTGGGAGCGGAGGATATGGAGGGGGAGAGGGAGGGAGAGAGTTGGGTACTGCGACTGGGCTGGGGTGATGGAAAGGTGTGGTTTGTCTTGGGATCAGACGGTTCTGCTTGCCCTGGTTATACAGGCAGTGAAAGAGAGTGGAGTGAGGGGGTTAGGGGAATGAGGGGAATGAGGGGAATGAGGGGAATGAGGGGAATGAGGGGAATGAGGGGAGTGAGGGGAGTGAGGGGAGTGTGTGGAGCAGAGTACATGGGAGAGCAGTGAGCACTGACAATGTGTTGAGGTTGGTGAGGGCGCTGAAGGCATCAGGTAGTTGCCCTGTGATGTCGTTGATTCCCAGCCTCCTGCACGGCATGGCATGAGATGGCATGGGATGGCATGGGATGGCATGGCATGGCATGGGATTGGATGGCATGGCACAGCACGGCATGGCATGGCATGGGATGGCATAAGGGATGAGACAGCATGGCATGGCTAGGCATTCCAACAAAAGGCATCATGACATGTGACAGGAACCTCGTATGATGAGTGCATCATGCCATGGGTAGCTAGGCAGGCACCCAAGCGCATCCTGCCAGCAAGTTAACTTGAAAACGATGGAGCATACATTGAGTGTTGTCTATACGTGCTAGAAAAGTCACCATGCACCCACCATTCCCCACATGCACCCACCACACTCTTCCCCATGCATCCACCACTCCCCACACGCATCCACCACACCCCCCCGTCCCATGCAGCCACCATTCCCCACATGCATCCTCCACCTCCCCCACATGCAGCCACCACTCCCCCCAGGAACACAGCGACTGACAGAGTGCGCAGGTTGGTGAGTGTGGCTAGCTCTGATGGCACGCTGCCTGTGAACCCATTCCTGTCCAGCCGCCTGGCACCGCACCGTGTGATGGGGCAGAGGGAAGAGGGAGAGGAATAGGGGAAGGGGGTGGGGCAATGGGCGGCTGATGCATTCTTCTCAGTGTTTGGCCAAGTCATTGCATCGACGCTCATCACTGCGATTTGTGGAAGTGAAGAGGGGCACGGGCTGGTTCCTTCCGGCATTGGTGGTTGGTGTGAGCGAAGAATCATAACCTGGAATTCAGCACGTTGGAGAATCGTGAGGATGAGAGAGGCGGGGCGGGGCAGCAAAGGACAGGATAGGGCAGGGCAGAGCATGGCAAGGCATGGCATGGCAGGGGAGGGGAGGGGAGGGATAGGGCGCAGTGGTTAATTACAGAGCAGTGAGTGCGGTCAAGTTGGCGATCCATGCAGGAATGCTCCCAAAGAGAGAGTTGCGCCCCAGGCTCCTGCAATGGCGCAGTGGGGAAGGGCGGTGCAGGGGGTACGTTGAGTGTGGTGCAGGGGGTACGGTCCAGGGGGTTCGGCGTTGGGTAGGAGGTGGGGAGTTTAGGGACATAGCGGCAGCAGGTGGAACGTGTGTGAGAAGAGAAGGGCGGAGGGATGGGAGGTGAGGGCTAGCAGACGAGCAGCAGCTTTTGACGGGAGGGATGGTGAAGGGGGGGGGGGGCGAGCGGAACAGCAAAGGAAGCAGCAGAAGCAAAGTAAGGCAAAGAAGGAGCGGTGTCTTCTGCATTGGATTAGTGAGTGCTGGGGCAATGAGCATGGTGGGAGGTGATAAGGCGAGACAAGGCGAGGGGAGAGGATTCGAGGAAGGGGAGGGGGACGGGAGGGGAGGGAATATGAGGTTAGGAATGTCGAGGCGAGGGGGGCCGAGGGTGAGCGGGGGGGAGCGAGGGGGGGCGAGGGGGAGCGAGGGGAGGGGAGGCAGTGGGACTGACAGGTCCTGCAGGGTCGATAGAGTGCTCATGGTGCTGGGTAGGGATCCATACAGCAGTGTGTCGCCTAGGTCGCTGGGGGGAATTTGGGGCGGGGTGGGAGAGAGGGGACGAGTGGAGAGGAGAGGAAAGGAAGGAGGAGCGGGAAATGAAGGTGGTGTTGGGTGGAGAAAAGGGAGGGCTGAGAAGGGTGGGAGAGGAATAATGGGCGGTGAGAAAGTAGAGAAGGCATGGAGCATGGGCGCACGCGTGCGCACACATGTGCGGACGGATGCGATGCGAACACATAGACGGATGAAGGGGACTTGCAATTGAAGCACCGGCTTATTTCCCCCACATCTCCTTTTCCCTCTCTCTCCTCGCCTCTATGTAACCCTCACATCACAGCACCCCAACCTCCTCTTCCATCTTCCTCCCCACCCCACACCCCCTTTCCGCGTATCCATCTGCCCCCCGGGTATTCCCCCGTCCAGTTACTCCCAGCGTGCTGCTGCACTGGCGTGTCAGTCACAGGGAGCACTCACAGCAGAGTGAGGCGCGAGAGGACGCTGATGCTCTCTGGAATGGACGTGCGCAGATTAGCTTGCTCCCAGTTGCTGCCGTTGTTCCCCGCACCCAGGGCAGGTGGGCGAGCAGGCGGGATGGAGGGAGGGAGGGAGGGAGGGAGGGAGGGAGAGAGAGAGGGAAAGAGGGAGGGAGGGAGAGAGGGGGAGGGAGGGAAGGAGGGAGTGAGGGAGGGAGAGAGGGAGGGAGGGAGAGAGGGAGGGAGGAAGGGAGGGAGGGAGGGAGGGAGGGAGGGAGGGAGAAAGGGAGGGAGGGAGGGAGGGAGGGAGGGAGGGAGGGAGGGAGGGAGGGAGGGAGGGAGGGAGAGAGGGAGGGAGAGAGGTAAGAGGGGAAAGAGTGGTAGGGAAGAGGTAAAAATGTGAGAAAGAGTAAGGAGGTACATATCACATGGTAGAGGAGGAGGCGAAGAGGAGAAGGGGCTGGGTGGATTAGGCAAACAAAGAGACGGGATGTGGAGGGTGGTGCAGAGGCAGGGTGCTAGAGCAGGTGACTGACCCATGGCTGATTGGCTTTCATCGGGCCTTGGGCGGTAACGGGAGCAGAACGAAGCGAGACGAGGGAAGGAGGCGCGGGAAAAGGAGGCAGGAGGGAGGAGGGAAGATTGAAGAACGAAGAGGGATGAGGGACGAGGGACGAGGGGGGACGGAAGAGCGGCACGAGAATGGCACCGGAGGGCCGAGGTGCAGGATATGGGGAAGGAGTGGGGAAGGGCACTAGAACGGCAGCAGAGGGCTGCGGAGACCGTAAGGACAGGCTGCACTGAGGGTACTGGGAAGGGGTGAAGTGCGGGCGTACAGGGATGTGATCATTCCGTCGTGGTCCATGTCTATTGATGGCGACAGGTCCGCGTTCTGACCCAGCTCGTTAAGGACGACCACTGGAAACACACACGCCAAGGGCGATGAGTAGGGACGAAGTGGATATATAGAAGTGAAAGTGAGAGTGGAAGTGAGGAAGAGAGAGCGAGTGTGTGTGTGTGTGTGTGTGTGTGTGTGTGTGAGAGTGTGTGAGTGTGTGAGTGTGTGTGTGTGTGTGTGTGTGTGTGTGTGTGTGTGCGTGCGTGCGTGCGTGCGTGCGTGCGTGCGTGTGTGAGGAGCGAGGTGGTTTGGATAGGAGGGTGGAGTGCGGTGCGCTGCGGGGTAGTAGTATTGTGGCCGTGAGAAGATAAATAAAGGCGGAGTGAGATCCGAGTCGAAAGATTCTCAAATGAAGCATCAGGTTCGGCAATAACGCAAGTGTTGCGCTGGGGGGGAGACCTTGGGGTGAGTCCCAATAATCATATTGAGCGCGGCCGCCACACATCCCGGCGGCAAGGACGGCGAGGAGAAGCGCGACGTGACTGGCCGACTGTAGCGAAGCGCACGTTGGTCGTGCCATGATGGCCGATATTGTGGCCGAATCGGCTGTTGCGGCCGGTACAGTTCCGGCAACCAGAGGGTCCGGAGAATGAAAACGGGATAATGTTCGCGCTTTTGGGGGGGCTCAAAAGCCAGAAATTCCAGTAGATTCGTATGAAGTCGCGGTAAAGAAAGCTTTATCGCCGTACGGAAGATGAGAAACGAAGTAAACTAACAGGTGGAAGCTTGAGCGGTTTCTACGTACAAAAATGCACAACAGGGAAGAGGGAACAGTTGCAGAGAGGGAGCTTGTGAGAATACTGTCAAGAGAGGCTACGAAGTGGAACGTGGAATTTGACGGTGTGGTGTGCCAGAGCTGGCGTAGAGCGACGATGTTCGAAAGGGACGGATGGGAGTTTGAACACGAGGGAGGGGTGACGAATTTCGTTGACACAAGAAAGCTCAGCAGGCACGACACACAATTATTTGCGGGGAAGGGAAGCAGGGGGAAAGGAAAAGGGTTGGGGGAGTCAGAGGGGAAAAGGTCTAGGGGAAGATGAGGTTTGCGTTGCGTTGCGTGGCGGAGCTTGAAAATCTGCGTGCGGGCGGGCTTGGCTGGGGGATGGGGGAGGTACACACGATGCCCGGTTGAGCTCCCCGACCTTGCCTTGCTCTCTGGGCGTATAATCTTTTCTTGCTTGTCGCAAAGCTTTCGTCCATTCGCACCTAGCAAAAAGGGCTTATAAAAAACATTGTAACTCATCGTTGACTGTTTGACTTCGGCCTCTTCAGTCAAACTTCGGTTTCTGTGGTTACTACTGGTTCAAATCACTGCAACTTGCTCGAGGTGCTTGTAAATGGGGTGCAACTTTACGGCACAAAACCCACGGGTGCAAGGTTTCCATCCGGTTAAGGACAATTTCGCGTGCAGGGGGTGAGCATCATGTGTACGACGTTCCGCTTCCCCCAATCCCCACCGCTGGCAATTCCATCCATCCGTCAAGAGGCACAGAAAGCTCTGCCTGCATCTTGAGCGCGAACATCCGCGCGTACGAGTGTAGGGGGAGGGGCTGTATGCTCAGCACGGCATGGTGGTCACGCGGATACCGGAAATGCGCTGCAAGGGGCGCTGTCTCGCTATTCCCCACGTGGCGGGTTAGGGGAAGGGTTGACCCGGTTTGACTGGGGCTGGGGGGTAGTTCTCCTTCCTGCTCATTCGCCCCGCGTTGCGGTGGATTCTGAACGTTTGCCTTTGCCGAGCTAGCACGGAAAATAAGACACAGGTGTACTCGTATCCTCATATAGGGAAAATTACATCTGCAAGAAAATTGGAAGTCTGTAAATTATGTCACACATTCAGTGAGCTAAGAACTTACACATCCCATTTGTTCCTGCACTCCGGCATTTCCCATGGTTCCTACGAACTGTCTTGTCATGCGCAAGTTACTGGGATAGGGATGCACTACAACAAAATAATAAGGTCACTGAAGAAACATCACAATTAGAATGCTTGAAGTTACATCACATCATCTCATCACTTCCTCCATCCACTACCAAGCGCCCTTGGCTTCGTTATGCTCATGGCATGGCTTTGGATAATCCCTTCGCCGCTCACCTCACCTGCTCCCCACCCACCCTCCCCACCACCACTTTGCCCCACACCCCCGTCAAACCTCCTGGGACTCCTACCAGTGTACATACTCGCACTGCCAGTGCCACTCCCAGGACTAGCCCCTGTGCCTCCTCCTATCCCTGCTAGCGCCCTAGCAGAAGGGCTGCTGCCAGTGGCGCTGCCACTGCCAAGAGATCCAGCTGTGGGACTCACACTGCTCGTGCGTAACCCAGCATGCACAGGAATAGGGGCGGCTGGAGAGTATGTGCCCGCAGCACCAGCACCAGCAGCGGCAGCAGCAGCACTGGACATACTGCCAGTTGCGCTACCGGGACTCCCGTATTTCCCAGGGCTTCCGTATTTCCCGGGGCTGTTATATTTCCCCCCAGGGCTGCTGTACTTGCCTGGACTGCCCCCCACAATGCCTCCCCCCACAGCATACCCCACTCCACCCGGGCTGCTGCTGCTGCTTGTGCCACTAACACCCCCCACTGGCACCATCCCGCCTGCTTTAAGCGCAGCTGATGCAATCATACCGGCAACATCAGGAGCAGAGGGGCTGGTGGAGCTCAGGCCAACGCCCACACCAATATACTGCCGCGGGCTGGCTGACAGGGGCCCGCGCGAGGCAGAGGAGGAGGCGGAGCGGTAGGGGTGCGGCGCCGAAGTCGGGGTGTTGGAGGAGTGGTATTGGTATTGTTGGTGGTGGTGCTGCTGCTGCAGGTGTTGCAGGTAGTGCGGGCTGTAGGTGTTGTGGGCGTGCGGGCTGGCGCGGGAGAAGGCGGCGGAGGGGGAGGAGGAGTGGGAGGAGGAGTGCGGCACATGGGGTCCCACGTGCCATGTGGGGCTGTGGTCGCGCATGGAGCGCGAGGAGAGCATGGTTGGCCGCCGCGCCACCCATCCGTCTCGCTGTCGTGGTGGAGGGCGGGGTGGGGGAGTAGGTGGAGTGGTTATTGCTGGACTGAACATAGTGATATGGAGGGGTAAGAGATGAAGTGTTAGTGATATGGAACAAAATATAACACCTCTTGTTACCTCAAAAACACCTGTGCTCAGCCCAGCAGCATCCCTCCAACCAACCACTCATGCTGACCAGTGACCAGTCACCAGTGTGAGGTCCTCTGTCTCCTCTCCAGCATGGCCACGACCTGCCGCATGCACGCACCCTCTCTCATGCCCACCATCACCAGCACCATGCACTCATCCCCACCCGACCCCACCCATCTCTGCACACAACTCACCCACCCCCACCGCACTAAACCACCCCGTCTCACCAGCGTGGGGTCCTCTGTCTCCAGCATGGCCACGACCTGCCGCATGCGCGGGCGCTTTAGAGCATTCCCGTCCACGCACTTCACCACCCTAGCCTTTCCGAATCCCAAACTGACTGCTGCACCTGACCACACCTGACCGCACCGCATTGCACCCAGCGTCCCACAGAGCACACATGCTCACCAGTGTGGGGTCCTCTGTCTCCAGCATGGCCACGACCTGCCGCATGCGCGGGCGCTTGAGGGCGTTCCCGTCCACGCAGCGCAGCGCCACGCCCACCACGTACTCCACCTCGTCCGCGCCCGCCTGCCCCGCTATCCGCCCATCTACTGCCTCTGCCAGTCGGTTCTCTGCTGCCAGCCGCTTCACCCACCGCACTATGTCCACCTGAAGGGTGGAGGGGAAGGAGAGGTGGGGAAAAGGGGCGGGTGGGGGGTGGAAGCGGGCGGGGGAAGGGGGAGAGAGCGGATGAGGACAAGGCGATGCTTTTTGAGGCCTCTAGAAATGCTCTCTGCTGCCAGCCGTTCCCGTCCACGCAGCGCAGCGCCACGCCCACCACGTACTCCACCTCGTCCGCCCCCGCCTGCCCCGCTATCCGCCCATCCACTGCCTCTGCCAGTCGGTTCTCTGCTGCCAGCCGCTTCACCCACCGCACTATGTCCACCTGGGTGGGAAAAGAGGAAGACAGGATGGAAGGAAGGGAGGGAGTAGAGCAGGAGGGAGCGTGGGTGGGGAGCAAGCAAGCAAGCCAGCAAGGAAGGAAGCTAGGAAGGAAACAGGAACGGAGGAAGAAAGGAAGGAAGAAAACAGGCAGGGAAAGTTCGTGTGTCACGTCACCTGTTCCGGTGGGAGGTGTGTGTCGATGGGCTTGCGGCCTGCCACGAGCTCCAGCAGCAGCATTCCGAAGCTGTACACGTCACTGCGCTCCGTGAGCAGCCCCGTGTTGATGTACTCTGGCGCCACGTACCTGGGGTTGTGGGGGGGAGGGTGTGATGGGGGTGGGGCATTGGGCAAGCAGGAAAGGAAAGCAGAGTGTGAAGTGAACGCGGCGCATTGCTCCGTGAGCAGCCCCGTGTTGATGTACTCTGGCGCCACGTACCTGGTGGGGGGATGGGGGGAGGGGGAAGTTCGAACATGGGAAAGGGACGGTGAAGGAGAGAAGGAGGTGGGGGAGAGCAGTGGGAGGAGGTTGAAGTGATAGTTTTCGCTCCGTGAGCAGCCCCGTGTTGATGTACTCTGGCGCCACGTACCTGGTGGGGGGATGGGGGGGGGGGGGGGATGGTGAATGGGGAAGAGACGGTGGGGGTGGAGGGATGTTCAGGTACATCAAGCATGGACCTCACTCCAGGAGGAGAGAGAGTTTGTGGGAAGGGAATTGTTGAAAAGCTTTTGAATTGGGTTTTGGCAATCAGTTGCAGTCTGTCTCTACTTCCCCCTTTCCCCTCTCCCCTCTACTTTCTCCCCTCTCCCCTCAACCTTCTCCCCTCTCCTCCCCCCTCTATTTCCTCCCTCGCCCCCTCACCCGACGGTGCCGAGGAGGCGCGAGGGCGCGTGGGAGTGGAGGCGGCCGGAGATGGCGGGGAGGGCGAAGTCAGCGAGCTTGGGGTTCCACTGCGCGTCCAGCAGCACGTTCAATGCCTTCACGTCCCGGTGCACCACCCGCACGTCTGCTCCCTCGTGCAGGTATGATAGGCTGTGTGGGAATGGAAGGGGAGGGGAGGGGAGGGAGGGGAGGGGAGGGGATGGAAGGGGAGGGGAGGGAAGGGAGGGGAGGGAGGGGAGGGGAGGGGAGGGAGGGGAGGGTAGGGAGGGGAGGGGAGGGAGGGGAGGGGAGGGAGGGGAGGGGAGGGGAGGGGAGGGGAGGGAGGGGAGGGGAGGGAGGGGAGGGGAGGGAGGGGAGGGGAGGGAGGGGAGGGAGGGGAGGGGAGGGAGGGGAGGGGAGGGGATGGAAGGGGAGGGGAGGGGAGGGAGGGGAGGGGAGGGAAGGGAGGGGAGGGAGGGGAGGGGAGGGAGGGGAGGGGAGGGAGGGGAGGGGAGGGAGGGGAGGGAGGGGAGGGGAGGGAGGGGAGGGGAGGGGAGGGGAGGGAGGGGAGGGGAGGGAGGGGAGGGAGGGGAGGGGAGGGGAGGGAGGGGAGGGGAGGGAGGGGAGGGGAGGGAGGGGAGGGGAGGGAGGGGAGGGGAGGGAGGGGAGGGAGGGGAGGGGAGGGGAGGGAGGGGAGGGAGGGGAGGGGAGAAAGGGGAGGGGAGGGAGGGGAGGGAGGGGAGGGGAGGGAGGGGAGGGGAGGGAGGGGAGGGGAGCAAAAGTGAGGGGCTTGAGTTCAGCAGCACGTTGCTCGCCTTCATGTCCCGGTGCACCATGTGCACATCTGCTCCCTCGTGCAGGTATGATAGACTGAACGGGCAGAGGTCAGAGGGACGGGAGGAAGCAGCAGGGAGGGAGGGAGGGAGGGAAGGGGTTGCAGGAAGGGAGGGGGGTGTTGAGGCCATCGCCAGATGGGGGTGTATTGATGGGAGGGGATGGGTGGATAGCATTGAACCTCAGGGGCCATGACTGGCAGGGCGGCACTGCACTTGTTCATGACTGTTTGGGATGGGATGGGATGGGATGGGATGGGATGGGATGGGATGGGATGGGATGGGATGGGATGGGATGGGATGGGATGGGATGGGATGGGATGGGATGGGATGGGATGGGATGGGATGGGATGGGATGGGATGGCCGATTCACGTCATGAGTCACCGCATCCCCGCATGCATGCATGTACGACAACGAGTTCAGACTTCTCACCCGCGGGCACATCCCAGGGCGATGTGAACGCGCAGCTTCCAATCCAGCGGCGCACACGCAGCAGATTCCCCCGCACCAGCATCAGCACCAGCAGCAGCAGTTGCAGAACCAGGAGGACCAGCAGCAGTAGCAGAAGCAGCAGCAGGGGCGTGCAGCCAGGAGTGCAGGGTGCCGTTGGGGACGAACTCGGAGACGAGAAGGCGTTCAAAGCCCTCGGCGCAGCACCCCAGCAGCGCCACTATGTTGGGGTGCCGCGCCCGCGCCACTGCCTCTGCTTCGAACCGAAACTCCCGCTCTGACTGGTCCGGACTGGCAGGGGGAGAGGCGCGGGAGAGGGACAGGGTGAAGGGGGGGGCGCGTTCCGAGCCGTTATAAGTCTGGAGGATGGAGGGTGGAGCACAAGCAAGGAGGTATGGACGCTGACGCACAGACACACATGCACACTTACGTGCAGTGCACGCACGCACACCCGCACACGCAATTCAAACCTACTTGCAGTTGGTGAGTCGCTTCACAGCCACCGTAGTGCCGTCTGGCAGGCGCGCCTTGTACACCACACCATGCCTCCCTGCGCCCAGCAGGTTCCTCTGCCCCTGCCGCCCAAAGTCATTGGTGGCGAGAGCCAGCTCTGCCAACGAAAACACCTTCTCCGCCACTCCCTTGCCGCTCCCACCGCTCTCGCTCTCCTCACTGCTCGCCTCGTCTCCCTCCGCATTCCCAACCCCACCAACCGACGCTCCTGCTCCTGCTCCTCCTCCTCCGCCTTCTCCTGTTGCTGCTTCTGATGCTGTTTCCCTGCTGTCTCCTCCTCCCCCTCTCGCTCCTCCAGCGGCCCACGTTCTCCCACTGACCTCTGACACAGAGCGGCCTAGCTTCCCTCTCCTCCCCTCGATCACACTCCCGTCGCTCTCACTCCACGTGCTGCTCTCATCCTCACCACTGCTCCACACCCCTCCTCCCACTCCTCCCCCTTTTCTCCCTCCTCCCTCCGCTCCACTCTCACTATCCCCTTCTAGATCGGCGGCTCTTAAAGCCCGACCCGCGCCGCCATACGTTGGCAAACGGCTAGATGCCACTGCAACTGCTGCCCCTGCAGCCGCTGCTGCCGCTGCTGCCCCAGTTTCTCCTGTCCCTGCCTCCCCTGCACCTTCTTCAATCGATGCCCCTCGCAACCCAACCGCTGCTGCTGTGCCAACGGCAGCAACGCCGGCAGCAGCAGCAGCAGCAGTGGCGGAATCAGGGAGTGCAGCAGGCGGGAGAAGCGAGGAGGGCGTGTGAGGGGACCCGGACTTGGGACTTCCAGAAAGAAAGTAAGAAGGCGGGGTGTGTGGTTGCATCCCTACCCCCCCTGCTCCCCCCGCTGCTGCTGCTGCTGCTGCCTGGGAGGCGAGGAGGGGGGAGCGGTGGTGGGCAAGGGAGCGAAGGGAAGGCAGCGGGACGACAGGGGGGATGACGATGGGGGGAGATGGGGTGGCGGATGAGGGAAGAGGCGTGGGCTTGGGAGACGGGGTGTGGGAGGAGGAGGATGGGATGGAGCGAGGCGAGGTGCCTTGCAGTGCCGCAGAGGGAGCAGAGAGAGCTGAGGGAGAAGAGGGGAGAGCAGCAGAAGGATCAGCACGTGACGGCACGCCATGCCTTGGTGATACAGCAGCAGCTGAAGCAGCAGCAGCTGAAGCAGCAGCAGCTGAAGCAGCAGCAGCTGCAGCAGTAGCGGTGGCAGATACAGGAGAAGATGTGGGGATGGGCGGAGGAGGGATGGGGGCGAGCAAGGGGGAGGAGGCGGTGAAGGGGATGGCAGGGGGCGGGAGAGGCGGAAGCAGCAGCCCTGTCTCACTGTCCTTCTCCCTGCCAAAACCATGATCTGCAGCCTCCTCCTCATCCCTCCCATCCTCCATGCCCATGCCCATTCCCATTCCGCTTTCCGCTTCATCCACTTTCTGCGACAGGGACTCCCCGACGCCCTCAGTAAAGTCTTCTTCGTACTTCCTTCCACTTCCTTGCGACCACTTCCGCCCAACGCCCAAGCCACTGCCGCCACTGCCGCCGCTGCCCCCGTTGCCACCGTTGCCACCGTTGCCAGCATTACCGCTTCCGGCCTCGTCACCAACACCACCACCTCCGCCAACTGCCCCGCCGCTGCTGCTGCTCGCAGTGGCACTGGTGCCGCTGCTGTTGCTGATGATGGCGCCGCTGCTTGCAGTGCTGCCCGTGGTTGGGGTGCTGCTGCTTGCAGCGGGAGTGCTTGCAGCTGTAGCAGCAGGGGTAGCTGCGTCTTCTGCACTGGAAGCATGAGCCGTGGTGCTGGGAGATTCCGTGCGGTCATTACTAGCACCACCGGCACCAGCAACAACAGCAGCAGCAGCGCCAGCAGCCATTCCAGCAGCAGCGATAGCAGCAACAGCAGTAGTAGCAGCACCACCAGTAGCACCACCGGGAGCATCAGCCAATATGCTACCAGCGCCAATACCAGCAGCACCAGCAGCACCAGCAGCACCACCAGCACCACCAGCAGCACCTTCACCTGCGCTAGTCCCCTCCACCCCGCCCCCTGACTTTCTTCCCTTCCCCTTCTCCCCCTCTCCTCCTCGCCTCCCACTTCCCCCCCCGTCCCGCTTCCCCTTCTTCCCCTGCTCCCCCCCTTCCCCCTCTGCAGCGGGTGCAGGGCGGCCCCTATCCCCCCCTCCCGGCTGAACAGCAGGGGAAGGCGGCGGAGGGGGGGCAGACGAAACCGCATGCTGAGGGGGGAGGTACTTGATAAAAGAGCCCGTTATCGGCAACTCCCCCCTCTCCATCCTCCCCTCTTGCCCCTTCTCATCCGCATCATTCCCCCTCGCCCCCCCAGCACCAGCACCTGCACCTCCTACTGCTGCAACGGTGGCTGTAGCAGAGGCGGAAGAGGGGGCGGAGGGGTGCTTGGGCTTGCGCAGGCAGAGGAACGCGAAGAGGAGGAGAGCTATGGCTAGCACTGCCACCGCTGCTATGATCCCCACCACCACGCCCACGCTTATGCCACCACTCCCTCCGCTGTCGCCGCCGCTGCTGGTGGTGCTGCTGCTGGTGCCAGTGGTGGTGGTGGTGGTGGTGGTGGTGTTAGGTGGTGGGATAGATGATGATTCCGAAACAGCAGATGTGGAGGAGGTGGGAGGGGTGGAGGAGGAGGAGGGGGGTGAGGAGGACGAGGGGGATGAGGGTGATGAGGAGGGTTCAGAAGGAGGGGGGGAAGAGAGAGAGGGCGAAGGGGATGAGGGCGGGGTGGGAGTCACGGGCGGGCTAGGCGGGGGCGTGGAAGGGGGAGAGGTTGGCGCGGGGGAAGGGGAGGAAGGCGGAGAGGAGTCGGGGGGGGGTGCGTTTGTGGGAGGGGGAGCGCTTGGGGGGGATTGTGGAGCGGGAGTCGAGGGGGAAGCGAGTGGTGGGGGGAGGGAAGGGGGAGCGGCAGAGGGCGCGGCAAGTGTCGGGGGGGGCGCGTCAGGTGGTGGTGTTAGTGCCACACCGGGACATGGCTGTTTGGGAAGCGGAGGAGGGTGACGATAAGAATGGGAGAGAGGATGAGGGTGAAGACGATGGGGGGTTGGGTGAGGTGAGGAGGTTAGACGGCCACGGAAAAACAATAGGAAGGGACGGAGGGCGATGAAGGGAGGGGAAATACAGACAACCAGAGCCATAACTCTCCCTCTCCCATCCCTCCTCTCCCTTTTCCTCTCATTCCTCTCCCTCTTTCCCCCCCTCTCCCTCTCCCTCCCCCTTCCCCCTCTCCCCCGCCCGCCTCTTGGAAGTGAGGTTGAACACGGCTGCTCAAGTGCTTGTTGTTGCAGGCGTCTTTTCAAATCTCTCAAGAACCTCTCCCCACCACCACCACCACCACCTACCCACCCACCCACCCACCCACCCTCCCACGCACCTCCGTGCCGCACAGGCTTGGGTCGTTGGCAGTGAGGTTGAACACGGCGCCAGGCGCGCTCGCCATGGCCGCCAGCCCGGGCGGCAGCGGCCCCACGAGCTGGTTGCTGTCCACGCGCAGCCACGTCAGCCGCGTCAGCGCTGACAGCGAGGACGGCAGTGCGCCGGCCAGGGTGTTGCTGCTCAGACCCAGCTGCTCTAGCTGGTGAGAGGAGCGGCGCGTGGGGATGGGGGCAGGCGGGGAGAGGTGCAGGAAGGGAGGCAGGGGTGGGGGGGGGTGGGGGAGATGGGATGGGGGATGAGATGGGATGACCCGGCCAAGTCAGGAGAAGAGGAGAGGCATGTGGGAGCGGGGGGAAAGGGGGTTGCAACTTGGAAGGGGGGAGGGAATAGGGAAGGTGGAAGGTGGTAGCGTGGTAGCGCACTGCAAGTGTGGATGATCATGTTTCTACAACAGTGGCACCCACTCTCAACCATCTCTCCTCTTTCCCGTGCCATACGCTATTCTCCAGTTTTCCCTCATCCACCACCAGCCCATCACAGCCTCCCTTTAAACTCCTTCCCCCCTCCCACCCCCCCCTTCCCCATCTTCACAACCCCCATATCTCTTCCACGCGCGAACAGCCCCCCCTCCTCCACCAACCTCCCCCAAACCCCTCCTCGCGCAGACTTGCCCTCGCGCAGACTTCCCCCCGCGCGCACACTCACACACGCGCGCGCGCGCAACTCACGTTGGAGAGCGCGGTGATGGTGTAGGGCACGGCGTCCTGCAATTGGTTGCCGTCCAGCAGCAGCACGCGCAGCGCGCGCATGGGCGACAGGTCCGGGATCTGCCCGCTTATGGCGTTGCCCGCCAGGTCCGCCACCTGCGGGGGTGGGGGGAATGGGCGCGCGGGGGACGCAGGGTCGGGGGACGCGCGGAGCGGACGGGCAGGGGGATGGATGAGTCGCGGAGGGGAAGCGGAGAGTTGAGGTGCAACGCGAGTGAAGGAGTGTGAGCGAGAGGATGGGCATGAATACGTGAGTGAGGCAGTAAGTAACTTGGGGAGTGGGGAAGCTGCTGTTTCTCCCCTCCCCTCCCCCCACCTGCATGTGCGTCAACCATGCCTGATAAGTACTAATCTGCTGGCCCTACAGAGCACCACCTTTTTTTCCTTTAACCACCACCACCTCCTCTCTCACGGGGCACGCCGCCTTTCACGGCCGTCCGTCCCTTCAAACACCCCCCTTATAACTCCCGCGCGTTAACCTCCTCCGCGTGGCGCGCGCACCTGGAGTTTGCCGAGGTTGTTGATGGTGTTGGGGATATCCCCTTGCAAATAGTTCCGCGGCACCTCGATGCTCGTGACGTCGCTCATCTGCGCCATCTCCCCCGGCAGCTGCCCCGACAGCCCCATCTCCGGCAGCGACAGCCCCACCACCCTGCCCGACACGGGATCGCACACCATGCCCTGCCGGGGAACGCGCGGGGAGCGCGGGGAGCACGGGGAGCGCGGGGAACGCGGGGGAGCGGGAAGGAACGGAGGCGGAAGGATGGGCGGAGATGGGGAGGGTTGGAGCTTTGGTGACCGAGTGCGCGGCGCCCTAGCGCGATCTAAACGCGCTTCACGGGGCGTCGGAGTTAATAACACTTCCGTTACGGACGCCTGCGTGGCCGGCTGGACGGGTCTCTACATAGGCAGTACTAGTGATCGGAGGAGCTAACTAGCTTGTAGCAGGAACGGGTTTTACAGGTAGCATTCCGGCTTCCACGGGGAAAGCAGAGTCTGCGAGGCGGAGTGGGAGGCGAATCAACTCCGGCTCTTGTGGGGAGTCGATTCTTTTCGCGCCAGTAAAAATCCGACAGAAAACTCTGAGGTGGAGTGGAGTAAAAAAAACAAAAAAAAACATCAAACAAACAAATAAACTGCTTTGTGGTGCGTACGAGGAAGGGCGGCGAATCGCAGGGCGAGCGCGAGTTGGTCCAGGACCACAGGATGGTGCCCGGGGGGTCGAGCTCGCGCGCCATGCTCTCCCAGTCCGCGCCATGGACCGACACCGGCGCGCGGAAGGCGGCGAGACAGAAGAGAAGCGCGGACACCGCGGCTTGCAGCAAGTGACGCTGGCGACAATGGCGACGATGGCGACGATGGTTACGATGCTCGTCGTGGCTGTGGACCCCTCGCCACCGCCGCTGTTCTTTCCGCGGTAAGTTCGCGTTTCCGCCGCCGCCGCCGCCGCCGCTGCTATCTGCGGTCGTGGTCATCCTTCCTCGATTGCACGACATGGCAAGAGAAGGTGATGGTGCTAAGGCTGCGACATGTTACTAGTGACTAGGGCGACGGGCACATCCCCAGAGCAGCCCAGCCGACCCACAAAGACTCGCGCGCAACAGCAACTAAAGCCGAGCAGATTGGCGTAGGAGATATTCCGAACTCACGACGCGACCTAGGAATGCATTCCTCCTAGACCTCCATGCTTGCTGTGTGTATCTCTGTTAGCTTGCAACATTTCGGTTCAATTCAACCTCCTGTGGAGGCACAGGTAGGTGTATCTGCTGCTGTGTTTCCCAGACCAGACCAAACCACCAAGCCTCGAAACCAAACCGAGGGCAAACCTAAATTGAGCCCCTGATCAAACCTAAAGTGAACCCGAGCCCTACCTCGCCCGTCCAAACCAGCCAACCAAGCCAGGACACGTTCGGTACGGACATGGAGGCGCGTCGTCCCAAGGGGCTTTGCGCCCCTAGGCGACGCCGCTTTCAAAAACACACCCACCACTGAACACAACACCAAAGTCGTCGCCAATTTTCGCCAACTACGTGGCTGTAAAAGTGTGCTCAGATAACTTCGCCCTCAAATAGGAGAAACGAATGAGCTGTTTTCGCAACTTATCCTGCACCCACGCGAGACGCCAGCGCCTCGTCCAACCAAGGGTGGCTGCACTGTGACGGCGGGCACAAGAGCTCCGAAAATCCTCGATACAAACGCATCTGTAAACACGGTTTACCAGGACTGTACGTGGCTGATATAAGACGCAAAAGTATCAGGACTATTGAAAATAAACAAGACTGGACGCCCTCGAAACCTTTTTATAACCCCCCTCGTTAGTGGATCTCCGTTCAGGTACTGTACTTACGGGCATGATTCCTCACCCCATTTCCCCCATGCTTTCCCCCTGTCATTGCGCTCGCTCGGTCTGGTTCCTAAACTGTGGTAGTTTCTGCAGTCTCGCCGGCGGCAGACTCGGTAAAACCTTGTCTTCTTTTCCCCTGCCACGTCGGCGGCTCATTCTTTCGCCTCCCTATCGCCCTCGCCTGGTCTCTCCTTCCACCGTTACTGCGCACGCGCTCATTGCCAGAGATCTTTTCGCTGTCCTTTCATCGTTTTAGGTCAATCCGATCCGATTTATCGCTGCCGCCTCTAGCCGCGATCGCGATCAGCGGCAACTGCAGAAGTTTCCGATTTGACCTTTTTATTGTCCAGCGGCAAAGTCAGCAAACGCGGCAAACGGGCCTGTGTAGTCTAACATCAGCGCGAATGGCGCAAGCCCCGCAGGAGCCAGGGGGAGGTGGCCGGCCGGGACCAGGATCGCAGACGTCGCAAGGCCCGCAAGGATCCTTCTCGCCGTACTCTGTACGTATGACCGCTTACGTTCACGTTTTCTAAAAAATACGCTTACGCCGTAGGATTATAATAGGTATCCGATCTGACGGATCTTCCATCCCGGTTGATTTACCTCGTCTTACTCTGGGTTCTCGTGTTTCTGCCTCCGCTTGTCGACCTCGTCTCTCTTCGTTCTCTTCAGGCACTCCTTTCTTCCGAAATGCGTCCGGTCAGCGGACGCGGGCGGAGTGGATCCGCGGGTCCTGCTACCGCCGATGGCTCAGGTCGCCGCGGGCGCGGGCGCGGAAGGGGTCGGGGGCGGGGTAGGGCAGCGTGGGGGGAGGCGCACAGACCAGCGTGGGCGGACACAGTAACACCCGCGTGGGTAGATAATGCCACTAGATCCGTTCTTGCCTCCTCCGCCGTCCGATCGGCCCCATCTCGTGCCACACCACCTGCCCCGGGATCGGAAGCACCGCTCGATGCGTCGAATCGTGACGCTGATGGGTCGATCTCAGCCGCAGATCTGGACGGCGGCGGATCCGGGGGAAATCGCCCCTCCCCAGGTCTCGCACCACAGGGTAGCGGGCAAGTGACTCTCAACTTGCGCGCCTTTAATCTTTTCGCAGCAAAGGTTCGACCTGCCGTGCAAAGGGAAAATCCGCATTTATCGGTGAGTGAGACCGAGCGCGCGATAGGCATGCGCTGGAATGCTCTGGCGCCCTCTGCGCGCCAGGAGTACCTAAACGCTGCCCGCGCGGGAGTGTCGGCGCTGGGCGCAAATCGCGCCGCAGCAGGGGCGGCAGCGGCGGCGGCGGAGCAGGGGGGTGAGCTGCTGGATGCGCATGCGCGGCAGACGCGGCGGCGGCGCAAGCGCGCGGAGATTGAAGCGGAAATAGAAGCGGAGAACCTTATGAAGCAGCAACAAATAGCCGCGCGGTACGGTATTGGCGCCGGGCTAGGCATGGGGCTAGGCGCAAGCAGAGCGCACAGCGACCCGTGGGGGGGGCGTGGGGGACCTTCCGCCGTGGATGCCTCCGCCATGTATCCCGGCGCAAGAGGGCAGGGTTTCGCGGGAGCTGGCGGGGGACATGGGCGAGATTTAGAGCGCAGCGGCAGCGGCACGAGCAGTAGCACAGCGGATGAGGGGGAGTTTGCACCAAGCATGAGCTTTGGCGGGTTATTGACCGGAGCGGAGGGGGCGGAGGGGCATTCAGGAGGGTCTGTGCGGTTGGGTCAGTCGGTGCGTGGGATGGTGGACGGTGTGTTTGAAGCCGGTTTCTTTGTGGCCCTGCGCGTGGAGGGGTGCAGTGCGGTGCTGCGAGGTGTGGTGTTCACGCCAACGCCTGCTGTGCCTGTTACGTCGTTGAATGATGTTGCTGCCGGTGTGCCCCATGTGGGGGGGACAGCAGCAGCGGAGGGGGAAAGGGAACAAGGTCAGCTTGCGCTGATTGAAGCGGCAGCTGAACCCTTCACACACGAGGGTATGGCAGCCGCGGTAACATCAGAAGCTGGAGTAGCATCAGAAGCACTAGCATTAACAGCAGCAGAAGCGCCGGTGGCAGAAGCAGAAGCAGAGACAGAAGCAGCAGGAGCAGCAGAAGCAGCAGAAGCAGCAGCGGCAGACAATGCAGCAGCAGCAGCAGCTGCAGCCGCAGCAGCGGCGGCAGACAATGCAGCAGGGCTGGCCATGGTGGTAGCGGGTGAAGCTGCACTGCCAGATCCAGAGAGAGAAGTTGCAGCCATGCACATGGTTCAGGGCATGGGCTCTGATGTAAATGTGATGCACCATGAGGCAGCAGCTCATCACACAGTTGATATGGCAGCAGCTACACATGGCTATGTGGTTACCTCTGCACTGCATGGAACAGGCAATGACAGAGGCACAGCGGATCTAAACCATGCTGTAGTGGCGAACCATGGTATGCATTCCATGCATGATGGTTCTGGGGCATTGGAAGGCAGTGTGCCATCGCAAGACATGGTCGGGTCAATGGCTGCAGCACAAGACATGTGGCATGCTAGTCATCACCACCACCATACTCAGACACTGGCGAGGATGACAGCAGAGGGTGTTCCTACAGCAGCTGCTGTAGTCCATGCAGGAGCTTTTCATGTGGTTGATCACACAGGCACCACCACTGCCCCATCACACTTCACCTTCGCTTCACAACAATTGGATGATCTGCTAAATGCCAGCCAGGATAGTGCATCCCATGTGCCCATGAACCTGCAACCAGGATCCTTTTAGCTTTCTATGTTTTTCATCACTGATTTGACACCTAGCGTTGTTAGTTTCTCTGTTGGCAGTTTTGCCACTAAGAAAAATGTAATGCAGTTTTGCCTACATTGTGGGAGCAGTTATTCATATTTTAGCAGTTAACATGAGATTTTCAGCTGACATGTATCAGTATGATGATAAGTTTGCAGTACTCCCTCTACCGTGTATGTTGTGCAAACATAATTGCCCGCTTTCTATTAATAATGAACAAGCGTAGTCATAACCATCATTTACGATACCTATGTGAGATCCTGTGAGGCTCTAGAAAGTGAGATCCTTTGGATTCTCAATGATTTGAGCCAACGTTTGCAGGAAAGCTGCCAGATCAGCACCATAGATGATCCGATGATCAGCAGTCACATTCACCTGCAGGCAAGGGGTAGATAGAAACATCAGCATGGAGGGAACCAGAGCACAGTTGAAGCCCAGAGACACTAAAGAACAATGTATGTAATCATGCATCACTTTCCATAACCCCATGAGTGACCAGCCACCGGTATGGCAAACGAAACGCACCTGCATCTGCCTCCGCACAGCGAACATGCCATTGGGCAGAGCAACCACCTTGGGGCGAGAAGCGCCAACAGCCATGATGGCACCCTGCAACGCAAATACACACCCAACCAGACCAGCAGAGATTGCACACAAGAAAGTAGACGGTCATAAACTTGCACCAAGAGGCTTGCAGTAGAGATAAGAGAGAATCTGGAACTGCTGCAATGTGCCTATCGACATAATAAACTGGAGGCAGTACCTGGCCAGGCGGCAGAATGGCATCGAAGCGATCCACACCGTACATTCCGAGGTTGGAAAGAGTGAAGGTGCCTGGATGGAAATGCATGGCAAGGGGACAGAAACAAAAAACTCACATCCATTTTGCAGAAAAAATAATAAGCATGCGAGTAGGTCAAAGAGTCAAGGACTAGAAGCTTACCTGGTAAGCATTCGTGCTGGTTGAAGCTTACCTGTTTGGTATTCCGCAGGGCTGAGTCTCTTTTCCCTGGCCTTCTGCACCAGCTCACGCCACTTTTGGGACAGCGTGTAGATGTCCATCTGCACTCGCCCAAGCACACACGCAGCACACCACATCACTCTGCTCAGCATCCACTCATAAAGGCCCGGCCAATGTGACAGCATTTTCCACCATGTTGACTGGAAAGCGAACATACGCAACCAGGTGGTTGACACGTACTAATGCTAGCCAGCAAGAGAGAAAACCAATGCGAGAGCACAGAGGGCCAGCAGCGGAAACGCACCTTATCCGTGTCCTGAAGTACAGGGGTGATGAGCCCGCCGTCCATGGCGACGGCCACGCACACGTTGATGCTGGGCGCGAACACGAAGCTGCCTCCGTCCCGGCAGCTGGCATTCACTGTGGGGTGCTGCGCCAGAGCCATGGCCACCGCCTTGGCCAGCAGCGCCGTCATCGTCACGCCCTTGCCCTTGATCTGATCGCATGTACATGAGATGCCGAATATTAGGATGAAATGGGAGGAAGGAGAGGCGACTAAGGAGGAAAGCGGAGCAGCGAGACATGCAGATATCAAGCAGGTCGCAAAGTGGTTGAAACGCCGGACACGGGTTGAAGAACGAGAACGAAAGCGGGGGCATCGGGGGGGGGAGGGAGAAGGGGAAATGTGGGGAAGGAAGGAACGGGTTGCAAAGGAGAAGGGAGCAGCAGTGAGCAGGGTGAGAGAGTGGTTAGCTGACCTGCTTGTAGAGCGCGTCGAGGGCGTCAGTGGTGATGGTGTAGCCCACGCGGAACGTGGGCACGGCGAGGCTCGCCTCCATGTTGCGAGCCACAGCAGCCTGCATGCCACTGAACGCCACCGTGCTCCCAGGCACCACCGTGGGCCCAGCTGGTGCAGCTGCCGGCGCAGCAGCAGCAGGCGCAGCAGGAGCAGCAGCAGCAACGGGGGCAGCTGCCGCTGCGGGTGCTGCGGCAGCAGCTTCCACATCAGAGGCAACGATGCGACCCAGCGGTCCTGATCCGACAACCGTTGCCAGGTTCACCTGCCAACGGTAAGAATAAAAGGATACCATTTAAATCCACGAGCTCACTCGAAGGGCATGATAGCCCAAGTATTAGCTACCATGTTCCACGTGCAAAAGCGGATGCGTGTTATGTTTTTGTTATTCTTCATCTTTCTTTTTTTACATGAGTGGCGCACCTTCAGTTCCTTTGCCAGCTTCTTCGCATAGGGAGTCGCCACCACGCGACCACCCGCTGCCGCTGGGTGTGTAGAGACCACGGCAGCAGCCACAGCCGGAGCAGGTGCCGCCCGGGCGGCAGGGGCGGGAGGGGGAGGAGCGGCAGCTTCGACAGGAGCAGGGGCAGCAGGAGCGGCAGCGGCAGGAGCAGAGGAAGAACCCCCCTTGATCTTCGCTGCTGCAGCCTTGGCGGCGTCGAGCTCGTCCTCGGATTCAGCCAGCACCGCGATGGCTGAGCCCACAGGAGCCATCTGGAGGGACGAAAAGGGCGGCAAAGACAGTTTTTACCGCTTTTCCCTGCTGCTGTGGTTTTGCAGGTGACTATTAGCGACACGCGCCGCATAGCGTTTGGGCGGCCGGAATGGATGGGGCGATTGAGCTGGTTGCACAACATGACTTCACATATATGGAGACTGTATGATGCCGGAAAGCAAAGCTCAGAAGGCAAAACGAGAGAGTGAATGACGAAGGCAAACCGAGAGAGGGACAAGTTGCCTCAGAGGTAGTGACAATCGTGGTGTCAGCACATGGCTTCAAGCCAATCAGGTGATATACGAAAATGAACATCACTGGCAACTTCCGAACAGAAACGAGGTGAGGCTAAGATGGAGTACAAAGGGACTATACGGAATAGGAAGAAAGGCAAAGGGAGCGAGGGAGGAGCAGAGAGGAAGAGAGAAAAGGAGAGAGAGGTAACCTGTGTAGAAAGCACCCGACGGACACCTACTGAAATTATCAGCTATCCAATGCCATCAGAGGTAGTGACAATGTGTGTGTAATCACCAGTTGACATCGAAGCCATCTGATATACGGCACGTTATACATCATTGGCATCGTACATGTTTCCAGCCTGCCTGTCCATGCGCCAAAGCGACGAAACAGAGCTACCGACTGAACGACATAGCAGCAACCAGCTTACAAGAAGAAAATAACCTTCTGAACATAATGAACGGTTTGCAATGACTGGAATACAGTAGTATCCACTTCGCTCTTTCACACAAGGAAAAAACGGCTCATACAAACTAGGGCAACTGACGTGGAGCATACCTCACCCTCGTCGACGAGGATGGCGGCGAGGATCCCATCGTAGAAGGTCTCGACGTCCATGTCCGCCTTATCCGACTCCACCACCACAACGCTCTCGCCCTTCGACAGCTGATCGCCTTCGCTGCAATAAGCAACAAGGACCAGGACCACCAATGGCAGCCAACCAATCCATACACATCGAACGGAGATCAGCTTCGGAAACGTGGATGGAAACGAGTCGAAAAGCACTGGAGCATCTTGGAGGATCGTGAGAGATGAAACTGGTAACGTTTGAATACCTCTTCGACCAGGCAACGATCTTGCCCTCCGTCATGGTTGAGCTCAGCGCCGGCATGAAAATCTCCCGGACTTTCGCACACGGCGACACTACACGGCGGGGCGTGCTGGCCGCTTTTCTGGCGGCCATAAGGCCATGGCTCCGTGAGGGTGCTGCACCACAGCAGACAGGGCGCACAGGAACGAACGCGGGAGAGATGATTCACTTGAAACGCTACAGCCAAGTGGCCGGCATGGACTAATCGCGGAATATAACAAGGCCAGTCAGCAGGCCCTATTCACCACAGACTACAGTCACTATGCGGACAGTCACTATGCTGACTGCTGCCACCACCAACAAGGTCGATAAATAAGGCCAGGCAGCAGGCACTAAGGATTCACCAGGCAGAAACGAGGTCGTCAGCTCGATCTTAGTAGCAGACGACACCTGCTGTCCGCGGCACGGTGCCAGAGAGGCAGAGCAGGCCTTAACGGCAGTGCAAGCCTCCATTTTCGCGTTTGCCCTGATCTGAAACGACTAATTCCAGTTAGAAGGAATTTACTGGCACCTCAGACCAGGATTGAATGCTCGGATGCGAAGTGGAAGACTGGTTGCTCACTGCCAGGCACAGCTGTGTGAGTCAAATGTCGCTCATGGATGAGGGTGAAATGTTTCAGTGAAATGTGCTAGGGTGAGGCACTGGAATCCCACAGTTCAGTGATCTTCCTGACCATTCACATCCGATGACCATTCAGGCTCGGTTGGACTGTTGGAACTTGGAGGTTGATCACGGCTCAGATCGAGGTGGTGGTGGTAGACCACCCACAGAGCGGTTATCCCAAGGGCGTCGACGGACAGCTCAGCAAGATTGTGACCAGCCAATCAATTTTGGCATGATGACACCCTGAACCGAACGTGAGTGGTGGAAACGGCTCGCATGCCCTGGCAACAAGTCATCGCAGGTCAGCGCGGACTCCCAGGCGCCAAACATCAATTGAGCTTGCACACTTTAGCTGGTGACATGGACATGTCACGTGGCAGCCTCACCTTATCCCCGACCCGATCGCTTCTTGGGCGCCTTTCTGACGTGAAAGGTGTGAAATGGACCGTACTAACCGGTCGCGTTCTGATGAAATGTCGCGATGGTACTTTATCGAAATGGCTCGTCTATTGGCACTTCCGGACTACCAAACCACCTCCAAATGTAAAAAACGGCACAGAAACCGCGACCTCAGCACGCCCAATATAAACTTCTATTGGTACTTTTACCAGGCACACATAAGCTCAATATTTCTAGTCTGCCTTCAACTCCACCAGCCAAACGGCCAAACATTGCTGTTCTTTGTCTGTGTTTATTGTTTTATTCCTACCTAAAATCGACTGGGCAAAAATATAGTGTTTGCCCACACAGCTTGCAAGTGGAAAGGCAGCTTGCGTCTTTCTATGCATAAAATCTTACAGTACTTACCAAATGAACCTTCGTGCGATCTTTACAACTACTGTACAAGATCCTTCTCCAAAACTCGTTGAGCAGCTGAAGTGGTAATTCTTACTTGAGACCCCGTTGGATGTGCAAAACACTCAGCTAATTTAGGTCAAAAGCCAGTTCACTATTGATTCTGCTACCCAATGTAAGAAGACTAATACTGTGACTTCCTAGCCAACACAATACTGAAACATGTAAACATCAGACACATTACTATACAAACATGTAAACATCAGACACTTACTGAAACCCACCCCACTCAAAGTCATCGTCTTGTGCTGGCTTTGAAGCCGAAACTCCAGGAGGAGGGGCGGACTGGAATCCAGCCCCCTGCCAAGGATCCGCAGCAGCAGGGGGACCTGAGGAAAAGGCATCAAATCCATTCCACGCCGCACCGCCACCTGCAGCTGATCCAGATGCTCCAAACCCACTGCCCATGCCAGTACCAGGAGCGCTCCCTCCCATCAGAGCTGCTAAGGGGTCCACCGCAGAAGACATAGGAGCCGTGTGTGCCGCTGATGGAGCTGACGGTCCATCGTCAAATGAAATCAGAGATGCCTCGAAGGAGGATTGGGAGGGCTTTGCGTATGCAGCAGAGGGAGCTGCAGCGCCAAGTGGTTTCACAGGTGGGGGCACGAGCCCTGATACTGGTATAGCGGCAGGAGCAGGGGCTGCAGCAGAGATGGAGAATTTCTTCACAGGAACTGCAGCAGGCTTTGGTGCCGACGACGCACTCTCCCTGTGTCCTCCTGTACCTCCTCTGCTTATATCATCGTCACCACCATCACCTTTCCAGTCGTCCCAGTCACCAAAGCCCTCACCACCTTTCAGAGCACTGTCATCAAACTTGGCAAAGCCTTTGCTACCACCACCACCACCACTAATACCTCCACTCGGTTTCTTCTCTTGAGTTGACTCAGAGCCGCCATACCCATTGCTGCTGCTTGCACTGTAGGTGTACACATCGGCATCATATCCGCCGCCCCCCCCCTCCCCCTCCTCGCCCACCACCACCACCACCACCACCACCGCCAGCACTATCACTCCCATCACTACCATACGTGTACGGTTTACCAAAACTGCCACCACCGCCCCTGCCACCACCACCACCCATGCCCCTGCTGCTGCCCATTCCCCCAAACCCTCCACCGCCGCCAATGCCTGGGCCCCCAAGGCCACCTCCTATCCCGCCTTCCACAGCCTCGACTGCCTTCTCAGTGACGGAGCGCATGAAACCCCACGCCTTCTGGCTTAGCTCCGCAGTGCGGCTTGCCACCACAGTTGCCGTCTCCTTGGCCTTCTGGTCGTACCCGCCCTCACGCATCTGATGGCGGGTGCACGCACGCACATGGGCAGAGGCGGTGTGAGATTGGCGTGATTGGACAGGGAGGTGTGCACTGTGCAGGATTACGGGGTGAGGCCGTACGGGGGTGTGGTTCGAGCAGCTTGTTGGAACCGAATAAACTGCGTGCTTGGCTCGATAAGAGCACTTGGGCTTCAAGGTTTGTACAATACCGCAATTAAATCGTATGTGTGCAGTTCATGGAACCCTTTCCCCCCTTCCCTCCTCTTTCCCTCTGTCTCTCCTCCTCTGTCTCTCCACCACACCACCCTAATAGAAACATCACACAGTACCTTTTCTTGCACCACGGCTGCTGCAGAGCTGGCTGCGCCAATGGCAACCATGGAGATGGAACGGAAGCCCTGCAAGGATGGTGGGCAGGATACACAGGAGAGTTGAGAATGGGCGCTGCACGGAGGAGCACACGGAGACAACAGCTGGTGGTGTAAGAAGGTGCAACGCAGAAGAAGTTGGGTGTGAGTGAAAGGGTTTCGGGGATGCAGAGGGATCACAGGTCACAGTCACCAGTGTGGTTTTGCTATTGCCGTTCACGCACTTCTTGCACTAGTTGGACAGCATGCACTTCATGCACTTCTTGCATGGTTTTTGTCCGCACAGCACCAGGGGCGCACTCTACACCACTGATATACTCTCCCGCAGGCCGGCTTGGGCGATCTCATGGTTCAGTTCAGTGTCGCTTGCTTTATCTGTGCCATTTACTAGGTGTGTCAGTCCGGCCCTCGCACCATCAGAACGCAGCTTACTTTCATGCCCTCGCCGCTCTCACGTGACTGCAACACGCCCTAGACTTGCATCCATGCATTTCATGCTGGCCCATGCCGGCCTATGCCGCTCCATGCCGCCCCTTGGGAACCCATGCCGTTCCATGCTGTTCTAAGAAACAGTCACACACCCCACATCTCCCCACAATCCCAACCTCCAACCCTCCCGTAAAAATGGTTTCTCCACACGCTTAAATGTTTATTTCCCACACCCTTAAGATTGCATTTCCCCACCCTAATATCCTCCCCACGCTCAAGATCGATTCGGGCCACGTTCCCCCCCTCCCCCAGCAATCACTCACCTCTGAGACCGCCTTGATCGAGTCCTCCGGCACGTCGCCTCCTGCACTCGGCTTTTGAGTCGACCTGAAGATGGCTTAGAATCAGTCCCTGCCACGCTCCCTTTTCCCAAACAATCACTCACCTCCGAGACCGCCTTAATCGAGTCCTCCAGCACGTCGTCTCCCGCGCTCGGCTTGCTCGGAGCGCGGCTCGGCGCGCTCCCGAACCCCACGTACTTGCCGCCCTGGCTCGGCGGAACCCCGTCAGGCCGCCGCGAGTTCTCCGCCAGCTTGCGCGCAAAGAAATTGTCCTTATCCACCGCCGATGCCTCCATCTGCTCCTTAGAGTACATGTCCGATGCTGACCCTGTATGCTGCCCCATCGCTCCTCCCCGCTTACTCCCCCCTCCGCCTCCGCCGCCTCTCCCGTCCCCTCCGGGCCTGCTCTCCCCGCCTCTTCCGCCCTCCCACTGCGCCCCTGCGCCGACCCCCCCGGCAGATCCATACATGCTGTTTTCCGACTGGTGCCTACGCATGTTCCCCTGGGCCGCCGCCGTCGCGTGCGCGTTCGCGGGGCTGGAGTGCGCGGATCCGACTCCGCCGCTGCCGCCATCCCCCCAGTTTGCCCAGCTGTCGTTTGATCCGAACCCGCCTGCTGACGACGCCCCCCCAGCTCCTGCAGAAGCAGCAGCAGCAGGAGGGGGAGCGCGAGCGGGTGGTGCGCCTGCGAAGGAGTTGGGCGGCGGGCCTGTTCCCTCCGCCGCCGCCTGGATCTTCCCGCGATACGCTTCGGCGACGGGCGAGCTGTACTTAATCGTGATATCGGTGTCCTTAGCAACGCCGTTATGCGCGAAGAAATAATTCAGCGCGTCGTTTCCGCCGACCTCCATTTTCCGCAGCTGGATCTCGGACCACGAGTCCATGGTGACGGATCGCACGAAGCTCAGGTGCACTCCTAGCCCGCGGTGCCGACCGGAGCACTCGAGGCACATGAAGATGCCGTAGGAGACGGAGGCCCATTGCGGGTTGCGCTGGCTGCAGTCCACGCAGACCTTGTTGCCTGGTTGCGCCGTGAGGACTCGCAGCCGCGCGGCTGTTGCGGCGGACACCATGCTGTCTGGCGGCTATGAAGAATGTCTGTTTCGGATACGCCTGTGCAAACTTCCTTGTGAGACGGATGCAGGGAAGCGATAAAGTCTGGCCAGTATGCTGTTTGTTGCAGCAGTGGAGAGAAGAATGTAATGGGGGAGTGGTTGGTTCCGTGTTTGGTGACCTTGGGAAATGCTTGGGGAGGTTGGTGAAGGTGCGATGCGACAACCTCGATGTTGTTGTTCTCTCGGCAGCAAATTTGCATGAAAACGTAATTTCGTGCACACCAACGACCAACCCACCCAACCAAACGCTACAGTACGACAGTGTATCCTGCAAAAACGGTGACATTCCGTTATAGGCACAGCGCACTCCTTGTGGGCGTTGGGCACTTCGTCGCGCCAGCCAGGGGTGAGTGTACAGTTATATCGTTAGTGGCACGCTGTCTTGCCTCCAGCACACCAGAAACCGCACCTGCGCTGCGATTCGCCCAATCGGTTCAGTTCAGTTCGCGCCAAACAAAATGCACCATTAGTAACCTCTTTTCCTCCTACACAACAACGAAATCCAAACCTCCACTACACACCCGTACAGAACATGCAATGCCTGCGTGCCACTGTCAATCCGCTTGACTGCTGAACAGGTTCTGCCTGTAATGGTAAATTATATAATGGTCTCTCATTCACGAATCTAGGCAACAGTGGCAACAATGCTGAGCAAAACGTTCTTGAAATACTTTGTACACCACAGTGAGTCGTCTACATACCGTACAATCCAAATTATACATCCTCAGAGTTCTTCATCTCCCGCGCCTGCTCATTCATGCTGTCAATCATGGAAAAGGCCTCGTCCAGGTCCATTGTATTGGAGTTTGCAACGTCAAGCTGCGCATCCACCTGCTCCGCCGCCCGAAACACTCTCGACGTCGGGCCGCCCAATGCCACCAAAATGGTCTGCAGCTCAGTGGCAATGTCAGCCATGCTGGGCCTGTTTGCAGTGCGCTTGGCAGTGCAACGGACAGCCAGCTGTGTGATGCGCATGACAAATTCCTCTGAAGCATCCATGCGAGGGTCCTTCAGGACCGCAACCTCGTTTCTCCCTATCTGCTCTTTCACCTGGATGGTTCCGTAAGGGGAGTGGAGCAGGTTGCAATTGGGAGATTGACGACAGGAAGGGATGATGAGAGGGTATTGGAGGTGGTTGGATGACCAGGTGGATCGAGTTGAATCAGGGGGGAGAATGGTAGACGCAAACAAAAATTATGATGCTTGCGGCGTGGAAGAAATGCTGTGATTGATGGGTCAGCTGATTCTGCAACAGTTGCCTTGCATGAAAAGTATACACTGCAGAAAATAGCACGTCAAAGACCTGCATTAAGCGTAGATTTGGAAACGAGAAAGAGAAACACAAGCACAGGAAAATACAGAGAATGTTCATGCATCCACTCACCCATTGGGCGATGTTCACAGACTTGCCCTTGTCATAGAATGTGACGTCACGCCCCGATGTCACCATCAGCATGAGCACTCCAAAGCTGCATGCAGAGAACGAACCGAGAGATTCAGGTATCATGGTTGAACGAGAGGCGACGCAGCTTCACATATGGCTGCAAATGTCGAGATTCGAGTATTGGGACTTCTCGTGTCAACAAACACAGCCACACAGCCTGCGTCAAGGGGACTCCGAGTTGAGTTCTTATTGCAACATAATGCGTAGTAGAAACTGCTGCTGACGCACTTAAAAAAGACAGGAATGAGAAGGATGAGAGGGATGCTGCACACGTTTGTGCTTGTGTTTGTGTGAACCACTACACATCAGCATCTGCACACATCAGCACCTGTACACATCAGCACCTGCACACATCAGCACCTGTACACATGAGCACCTGTAAACATCGGCACATGTTCACATGAGCACCTGTAAACATCCGTGGCAGTGGTGGCCTTCTGTGTGCGAGCATAAGCGGGGTCCACATAGCCCGGGGTGCCCATCACTCGCGTGGCTTGCACGGTGGTGCCTTCTCCCACGCGCAGCAAGCCAAAGTCCGCAATCTTGGGCTGCCACCATGCAGCACGCACACAAACATACGAGGCAGAGAGAGAGGTTTGTCAAAACGAATATAGTCCGACGTGGTTCGGTTTGATTGATTGCACCAGTTCGATTATAGTTTCAGCGTGGCCCAAGACCGCATTGCCATGATAAGCGAGGAGCGAGAGAAAGAGAGGTAGAGCTGCTTCGATTTGAGGTACCTGCATGTTTGCGTCGAGCAGGATGTTGGCGGGCTTGATGTCACGGTGTACCATATTAAAGCTGTGCAGATACTCCAACCCATGAGCCGCGCCCAAGAGAATCTCCAGCCGCTGCTGCAGAGTCAGAGGCGTGGCCACGTCTGCTGTAGAGCAACACAGTAAAAAGGGCGATGAAATGCAATGGGCAAGAAAGTACCATGCGAAATGCAAGCAGAAGCTGCGATTCTCGAGGATGAGCAGGACGGCAAGAGGCCGGGCCAGGGGGGAGCCGCAAGGTCTCGAGGAAGCAATGGGAGGAAGACGGAAGGAGAAAGAGATCGCGAAACCACACAAGGGATCAACTCCTAGGAGAAAGGAATCTGGATAAGAGGCGGCTGAGAGCGGCCAAGAGCGGTGTATGCACCTGGCGCCATCCTCTTCTCGAGGTCCCCGTTGGGCACGAACTCGTAGACGAGGATCTGCTCAACGTGCGCTGTCTCAGGCTCCACGTCTATGCAGAACCCCAGCAGCCGCACCAGGTTCGGATGGTGCTTTGTTGCCATCTGAGTCACCTGGTGGGTGGGGAAGGTGTGCGGAGAGGGGAGAGTTGAGTCGACTCATAAGTCACTCTGCATTTGCTGTCTCCGGCTCTACGTCTATGCAGAACCCCAGCAGCCGCACCAAATTCAGGTGGTGCTTCGTGGCCACCTGAGTCACCTGGTGGGCGGGGAAGGTGTGGGAGAGGGGAGGAGGGAAGAGGTAGCAGTGCAAAGGGAGAGAGGGGGCATAGAGCAAGACGGGAGATGGACTGTGGGAGAGGAAGGAAGCAACAAGGTTCGGAAAAGGAAGGACACATAAAACAAACAACCAAGCAGGCAAACCAAGCCAAACGAACAAGACCAACAACAGAAAGAAGGAAAAAAAGAAGCAAAAACAAAAACAACCGGGAGAGGGTGGTGGGTGGGGGGGAGGGGGGGGAGGGGGAATTGCAGACTACAGCAAATGCACACCTCGCGGTCAAAGTCATTGGTGAGAAGCTTGGCGCGCTTCACAGCCCACAGCGTGGTGCCATCGAGGGGAGACACGCCCTTGAAGACGTCCCCAAAGCCCCCCGACCCCAGCAGGTTGGCCTTGGCCCAGTTGTTGGTGGCCTGCTCCATGTCCTCCAGTGAGAACTGCTGGCACATGGGCGGGACTAGGCTGTACTTGCGGATCAGCCGTGATGCTTGCTCTGGGTTGGGATGGGGAGGGGGCGGGGGGAGGAGAACAAGAGGGGCAGGAGGGGGGGCTTCTGGGTAGACTCAAAAGTCAACTTGGCCTGGGCCCAGTTGCTGGTGGCCTGCTCCATGTCTTCCAGTGAGAACTGCTGGCACATGGGCGGCACTAGGCTGTACTTGCGAATCAAACGAGATGCTTGCTCTGGGTTGGGATGGGCGGGGGGGGGTGAGGAGAGCGAGTGAGGGGACGGAGGGGAGGGGGCGGGTGGAGCGGCGGGGTGATGACTTTGAGGCGCCTCAAAACTGGTGTGAGTGAGCTGATGCGGTGGAGGGGGGATGTGTATGAGGGTGTGTGTGAGCTTCTGTGTGTGCGTGTGAAGGAACTTTAGGAAACGATGCTGAGGGGTATACTGCTGTATGCAAACAGCACTTTCTGCCATGTTTGCCAGCATCTCACTGTGTTGCTTGTGCGGCAGTTCGGCTTGTGAGAGATCCAAAGAGCCGCCGCAGCAAGGGCAAGCAGCAGGAGGCTTTTGAGTCGACTCAAAAGGCAGCTTGGGGAAGCATCTCACTGTGTTGCTTGTGTGGCACTTCTCGATTCCGGGTGTGCCAGATCCAGAGAGCGGCAGCAGCCAGGGCAAGCAGCAGGAGCCCCCCCGCCACTGCAATACCGACGATGGCTCCTGTGGGTAGGCCTGGCTGACTGGCGGGTGGAGGGGAGTCGACGGGAGGTGCTGGCGGGATGGTGGACGGTGGAGAGGGGGAGAGAGGGAAGGAAGGGGGAAGGGAGGGAGGCGATGGAAAGAGAGAGAGAGGGGTAACAAGACATATGAATAAAGATTACAGATACACAATCGCATCTGGCACGAGAATAGAGAAACGTAGCTCACTCACTACAGGAAAAACAAGCAAGCAAACAAACAAAAACCCCTTGCCTGGAAGCGAGCGCCTTGCGAAAAAATACAAAAATAACAGAATAAAAAAGACAGGCTCACCGGGAGGCGAGGGCGGAGGCGAGGGAGAAGGTGGGATACAGGCGGAGCAGAAGGCTCGGCACACTGAACAGAAAGTGGAGGAGCGGTTCTGTGACACAATGCAGCTGGTGCCAGGGGCAGGGCATGTGAGACCCGTGCCATTGATGTCACTGGTCACCCAGGGAAGGGTGGTGGTGGCATGGCAACACAGGGTGCAGCGGGAACAGGGTGTGGCGGGAACAGGGTGTGACGGGAACAGGGGGAGATTGGAGGGTGAGGAGGGATAGAGGGGCGGGCTGGCTGGAGGCTAATGGTTTGGAAGGGAAAAGGATGGGGGGTTTCGAACGTTGTCAGACGCACTGTGCCTCGTGTAATGCAAGGACACTTCGGTGCAATCCAATCCAGCACGGCGATGAGTGGGAAGTTGGGAACGAGAGAGTGGGGGACGAGTGCGCGTGCAGCGCACTGCACTGCACTGCACCGCACTGCACTGCACTGCACTGCACTGCACTGCACTGCACTGCACTGCACTGCACTACACTGCACTACACCAAGCAAGGAAATCAAATATCTTTCTGGATTCATATCTTATTCGAAAATCATATCCTTCCCACAATCCGTATCCTCCTAAATACTACATACTACATATGACATATCCTTCACGTAAACCACACCTCCAAAAAAGGCTCACCCACAGTGCTGGCAGACGCTCTTAATTATCTTGCTTTCAAGGCTGTCTGTACAATGTACACACACATGCGCAGGGAGAGAGGCGTCTTACAGGGTGGTGAGAGAGGTGATGGACCCGAGCGAGGCAGGGAGGGAACCCTTGAGCTGGCTGTTCTGCACTTGCCTGGATGGCATGAGCGCATGGGACGAGAAGGAAAAGAAGAAGGAGAAGAAGGGCAAGGTGAACAGAAAGGAGAAGGGTGCGAGAATATGTGACTGTGCTGTGCTAGCATGTATCCATGAAGCACATGTCATGTGGCTGCATGCCCCACCATGCCCCACCATGCCCCACCATGCCCCACCATGTCCCATGAAGGCACCACAACATCCACCACCCGCCCAGAGCCTTCACCACAAAACAACATGAGCCTCACTCACTTTGAGGCCCTCACAGACAGGGAAAAGACAGTGACCGTATAGAAATGCCTCTTTCCGGCAGCAGTGCAGTGCAGTGCAGTGCAGTGCAGTGCAGTGCAGTGCAGGCAGCACGGTCACAGGGAAAACATCCGTGGGAGCTGTGATTGGATTGGATTGGATTGGATTGGATTGGATGGATGGATGGAGGTGCTCACAGGTAAACGAGCTGGGTAAGACCACCAAGGGAGGATGGCATGGAACTACCTAGCTGCGTGTTGCCCAGGTCCCTGCCATGCCATGCCATGACATGCCATGCAAAGCCATGCCGAGGCATGCCGTGAATGGAAAGCCATGCCATGCCATGCCAAGCTAAGCCATGCCATGCCAAGCCATGCCATGCCATTACGTGCCATTCCATCCCAAGCCATGCCATGCCATTCCGTGCCAGGTGGCGACGTACCATGCCATGGGTTGCCATGCAAACGCCATGCCATGCGTGCCATGCGCTGGGGTGTGAACATCATGCCATGTGATGGCATGGCGGACGTGTCCTAGAGTATTGCATGGGGGGTGTAACGAGGTGCACAGAAAATTTCCGCAGTTGATTGAACGGTCTATACTCGCAACAATCTGAGTGTGGCGAGATTTCCAGTGTGCACGGCGTGATGCAATGTGATCTCACAGCGACGCAATGTGAGTGGTGGACTGACAGCAATGTGAGAGGTGTGAGGTTGGCAATGTGGAAAGGTTGGCATTGGCAATGTGGGGTGAGTGAGGGAGGCAATGTGAGTGGACTGACAGTAATGTGAGAGTGGTGAGATTGCCGAGAGCATCGGGGATTGAGCCAGTAATGCTGTTCCCAGCTAAGTTGCTGGTGGGCATGCGAGGGGAGGGATAGGAACTTCCCATTGGGAAGGTGGAGGAGTTCTCAGTGGCCATGGAAGTGGGCATCCTGTGATGCCGGGTAGTAGAATGGCATGGCATGGCATGGATGGTGTGGCATGGATGGCATGGCATGGCATATAGACTTAGCACCAAAACGAAATTTGGTTCGGGCAAACTACCAAACCGGTTTGGTTCGGTTCGGTGATTTGCCCATGTTCAATGGCATGGCATGGGATGGCAGGGTATGGCAGGGCATGGCAATCATTGATTTGGTGCAGAGGACTGACAGGGAGGAGAGGCCGTCAAGAGAAGTGATTGATGATGGGATGGATCCAGTGAGCATGTTGTCGGATAGGTCCCTGTGTGCGCATGCACATGGGGTGAATGGATGGGCATATGCGTGATGCGTGATGGGACAGGAGATGGCAGGAAGGCAGAAAAAAGAGACGAAGAACGACTAGGGAGTTTGGGAAGGCTACGGCTGATTATGTAATTAGAAAGGGAATGAATAAAAGAGAAGTGGGATTTTCGGTTATGGAGTCTACGAAACATGGTGGAATGGTGGCATAATAATAACATGTTGAAATGGTTCAACGAGAGGAAGGGACGCTATGACAAGATGAAATGGTTCACTTGTACAACAGTAGCATGATTTGCAGCACGCACAGTTCAATGAGAGCAGGAAGAGCCCAAATGGAGGGAGGTAATGACCCTTGCAGCTGATTGTTGCTCAGGTAACTGCTCCACGTGGACGTGCATGCGCCATGTGCCATGCACCATACAGCATGCACCATACAGCATGCACCATACAGCATGCAGCATTACCATGCACATAAAAGGCGTCGGGATACAAGAGGAACAAAGAGGACGGCGTGAAAAGACAGGGAGAGGTTGGGCCGACTGAGCAGAGACAGATGAGAACTGGCGATGGCAGCAACTCAACATGACGCTGAATGAGAGGTAGGAGCTCCAAAGAAGAATCGTGGTGGAGAATCATGCAACATGGTGCTGAAATGCAACATGGCATGCGCATGGGCATGGGCATGCACATGGGCATGGGCACGCGCATGGGCATGGGCATGGGCATGGGCATGGGCATGGGCATGGGCATGCGCATGGGCATGGGCATGCACATGGGCATGGCACGCGCATGGGCATGGGCATGGGCATGGGCATGGGCAGCAGGGCATGTGAGGGAGAGGAGGCACACAGGTAGATGAGGGAGGTGAGGTTGCCAATGAAGGTGGGCATGCCGTCAGACAACCCGTTGTCGCTCAAGCTCCTGGTGTGCGGCGAGGAGAGGAGGACATGAGTGGAGGAGAGGAGGACATGAGCGGAGGAGAGGAGGACATGAGCGGAGGAGAGGAGGACATGAGCGGAGGAGAGGAGGACATGAGCGGAGGAGAGGAGGACATGAGTGGAGGAGAGGAGGACATGAGTGGAGGAGAGGAGGACATGAGTGGAGGAGAGGAGGACATGAGTGGAGGTGAGGAGGACATGAGTGGAGGTGAGGAGGACATGAGCGGAGGTGAGGAGGACATGAGTGGCGGTGAGGAGGACATGAGTGGCGGTGAGGAGAACATGAGTGGCGGTACAAAGAACATCAAGGGGGGTGCGATGAGAAGGTAGGGGATCCAAAGCGCGGTGGTACAGGTTATTATGTATGAACTGTCATGGTATGGTGTGGTGTGGTGTGGTGTGGTGTGGTGTGGTGTGGTGTGGTGTGGTGTGGTGTGGTGTGGTGTGCCAGATGTGGTATGAAGGGGAGAGATGGGAGAAGGCAGAAAGAAGGGAGTGGATGTGTGGGAGAGGAATGAAAACAGGAAAAAGGGTTCCATACAGATAGTTGAGAGCTGTGAGTGAAGCAAGATCTGAGGGAATAGAATCAGTCAACTCGTTGCCGGCCAATCCACTGTGCACACGGAGGGATGGGGAGAGAGAAGGGGGGGGGGGGGGGCAGAATACAAAGGACCGTTTGGGGGGGGGGCAGAGAGGGACGGGGCGGGCGAAGGAGGGGGCACGGAGAGAGTCAAGAGGAGTTAAAAAACGGAGGGGAGAAGGGGGAATGCAAGACAGTCGCACATGCGCGCATGCACGCTCCTGATGAAGGCAGGGCGGGTGGGCTAGTTTGATCCCTGTCCGCATGGGCGTGCATGCACACTCAATAGTCATGCGTGCACACAGTAGGTGCACTCATACACACCTGCACACATGCAAACACACATGCACATAACCCCCAACATCACACATGAACATGTACGTAAGGCTAGAGCTTTGCCGCACAGTGAGGTGAGTTTGGAGAGGCGGCCAAAGGAGGAGGGGATGGATCCTTCCAGAGTGTTGCCAGACAAAAGGCTGCTCATGAGAAGGGGGTGGGAGGGGGAGGCGCGGCAAGGGAGGGACAGTGTGCCATTGTAACGAGGTGACTCTCGAGTCGACTCAAAAGCCTTCTAGAGAGTTGCTGGACAAAAGGCTGCTCATGAGAAGGGGGTGGGAGGGGGAGGCGCGGCAAGGGAGGGACAGTGTGCCATTGTAACGAGGTGACTCTCGAGTCGACTCAAAAGCCTTCTAGAGAGTTGCTGGACAAAAGGCTGCTCATGAGAAGGGGGTTAGGGGGAGAGGCGGAGCAAGGGAGGGGCAGAGCATGGAAGGGGCACGGAAGGAAGGCGTGCATTAGAGGAGATGCGAGAGAAGATCAGCTGTCAGGGCATAGGCAGCAAGACACTCGCGACGAGGGAGAGAATGGAAGACTGGGGAGGATGGGGTGACGAGAAGCATGGGGTGACGAGAAGCATGGGGTGGGAGCACTGACAGGGCGCTGAGTTGATTCAGGTTAGCCAATGATTCGGGAATGCTGCCCGATAGATGGTTGTCCTGAAGGGCTCTGAGGTGAGTGTGCGAAGTTGAAATTGAACCATTAACTTCATTAGATTGAGAAGGTAGCATACATAGTTGGGAAGAGAAGGTTGGAAGGGAAAGGGAGGGAGGTGGAACTCGGGGAGCAAGCCAACCTATGGCCCATTGGGTTGGGTTGACCACACTTGGGGAAGTGGGGCAACCTATGGCCCATTGGGTTGCATTTGGGGGCTCCACCACAATTGGGTTGGATTGGCACCCCAATATGCAAGGCTACACCCAATGTTGGGTGTAGTCCCAACCCAACTGTACACCACACTTGGTGTACAGTCACAAGTGTTAGCAGGATACAATATATAATTCTAACAGTGAGAACATGGCATGGCAAGGACACACGCAGCATGCACGCATGGAAACATATGCATGGGAATGCGTGGGGATGCATGGGGATGCAAAGAGATGCATGCGGATCAGGGAGCAGAGGTAAAGGGAGTCATTCTCGGGCAGAGAAATGGGGGGAAGCAAGCAAGCAGGCAGGCAAGCCCCTTCTCTGAAGCAAGCAGGCAGGCAGGAGTGGTGCTGAAGTGAGAATGGAGCAGTCAGTGTAAGCAGCAGCAATCTCCTTCTCTTCTCGGTTCCACATGCACTTCAGAAGTGCTGAGTTGTGAGAATTCTCAAAAACCGAGTGATCGCACATGGACCACAGTGGAGAGGGGTGCGGAGGGGACTGGGAACGTTACAGCACTTTGAGCTTGGACAGGCTGCTGAGAGACAGAGGCAGCGAATCTATCAGCTGGTTGTCGTTGAGAAAGCTGGCAGGGCACGGCAGGGCAGGCATGGGGGGTTGTGCACAGAGCAAGAAGGGGGGAATGAGGAGGAGGTGGTTAGTTGGTTGGACGGGAAAGGACGGAGGGAAAATGAGGCTGGTTTCATTGCATGGATGCCTAAACTGGCTGTTTCATGATTTCATTCTTACTGGGCTCGTATGAGGGGGTGGAGGGGAGGGCAGTGGACGGTGGGGAACGTTGGGAGGAAGGGGAAGAGAGGGGAGGAGAGGAGGGGTTGAGGAGGGAAGGTGGGGGGAAAGGGGGTGGAGAAAAAGAGGGTTTGGAAGGGAAGAGTCCCAGTTCTATGGATGCAGCAGCTATATAAAGTCTTTTAGGGCCTCAAGTAGTCAGCTTGAATGCTGCGATCCTTCTCAGCACGCACGGCGCACGCACTGGATGTTTGAGTTGATTGAGATGAGACTTGAGAGTGCAGTGCAGTGGAGGGAGCCCGAGATATGGAAGGAAGGAAGGAAGGAAGGAAGGAAGGAAGGAAGGAAGGAAGGAAGGAAGGAAGGAAGGAAGGAAGGAAGGAAGGAAGGATAGTGGCAAGAAAAGCAATCTAGCAACCGAGCCGAGAGCAGGCCAGCACAGTGACTGACACGTACTGCAGGGTGAGGAGGGAGCTGAGGGGTGCGGGGAGACAAAGTTAGTGGTTTGAGTCGTCTCAAAACACTACTTTCATTATCACGGCAACCGAGAGCAGGCAGGCAGGCACAGTGACTGACAGGTACTGCAGGGTGAGGAGGGAGCCGAGGGATGCGGGGATGGTGCCTGTGAGGCTGTTGTAACCTATGTCCCTGGTTGTTGCATACAGGGATGGGCGAGTGCGGTAAATGGGAGAGAATAGGAAGGGGGGGAGGAGGAGGAGGAGAAGGAGGGAGAGAAAGAGTGGGAGCACAGCATGAGGAGCGGGGGGGGGGAGACCACAGCAGCAAGAGGAAACGGGAGAGTGCCAAGGCCCAATCCCACTGGTGCGTTCGAACAGCCAGCCAGTATGATGAGTGTTGCGCACCTAATGACTACATTCGGCCCGACCCCCCTACAAGGGGTTGTTGACAACTCCTTTGTCTCCTCGCTGGTTCTCATGCCTTGCAGTGCAGTGCCCTTGTACAACGTCTCTAGATAGACCTGATTGTGCTGCCCCGGCGCCTTACAGGTGGGTGAGGCGGCCAAGACTGGACAGCTGCGATGGAATGCGTCCTGACAGCAGGTTGTTGGACAGGTCCCTGAGGGCACACAGATAGACGGACGGACGGACGGACGGACAGACAGGGGCATGGGGGGGGAGCGGTGATTGAGAGGACTTTTGAGGCGCCTCAACAGCCCTCCTGACTGCTGGCTCTTGGAGTGCTCTCTGAGGGCGAGAAGGGCATGGGGAAGGGAGCAGTGGACGAGAGAACGCGAGTAATGAGGAGGCAAGAAGCACCAAGGTTCGAGGTCGACTCAAGAGGCACTGGGGGATGTGGGATGTGACATGGGCCATGTGGGATGTGGTGGCATGTGGCATGTGGGGTGGGGCATGTGACATGTGGAATGCGGCGTGCAGCATGAGACATGCAGCTGACGATGATCGATGGAAAGAGGGAAGCAAACGAAGGAGCAGCAGGGGATGATTGTAGGGAAGTAGGAGGATGGGACGAACATGTAAACGAGCAGCTTGAGTTGGCTGAATGTCGAAGGTATGCTGCCTGTGAGGTTGTTGCTGTAGAGGCTCCTGCACATGGTACATAACACATGGGCAGATGGCACGTTGCACATAACACATGGGCATATGGCACATGGGCAGATGGCACATGGGCAGATGGCACATGCAACACAACATAACAACACAACCACTGAGCGTGGAGACAGGCGGACGGGATCAGGGGTTTGTCATGCAAGAACGAGCAGAAGACAGGTAGAATAGAATGGTCACTGTCAATAGCATGCACGTATGGTTGACCAGTGCGGGTGTGTTACCGCGGCCGCACAAAAGTGAGGGGACGCGTGAGTGAGAGGGGGAGGCATTTCTCAAGAGAAGGGCACGCACAGGGTGTTGAGTTTTGGGAGGTTGGCGAGTGATGGAGGGATAGGGCCGGTCATGGCATTCTCAGACAGTGACCTGCCACACATGCACACATGCACACATGCACACATGCACACATGCACACATGCGCACATAGAAAAATGCAGACATGTACACATGGCAATGGCAAGGCAATGGCAACGGCAATGGCAACGGCAGCGTGTGCATCAGGATAAACTTGTAAGTTAGTGGCATGCAAAAGAACACCAGCAATACCAACGCCACCATCACCATCACCTCTCCTACTTCCCCTGCTTCCCCTACTTCCCTGCTTCCCCGGTTCTGCTTCTCTCTGCGTCGCTCTCCCCCTTCCTTCTCCCTCCCTCCCTTCCTTCCCCCCCCCTCTCCTCGCTCCCTCTCTCCCTCCCTCCCTCTCTCCCTCCCTCCATCCCTCCCTCCCTCCCTCTCTCCCTCCCTCCATCCCTCCCTCCATCCCTCCCTCCGTCCCTCTCTCCCTCCCTCCATCCCTCCCTCCCTCCCTCTCTCCCTCCATCCCTCCCTCCCTCCCTCGCTCCCTCCCTCCATCCCTCCATCCCTCCCTCCCTCCCTCCCTCCCTCCCTCCCTCCCTCTCGCCATCCCCCATCCTGCGCTCACAGCACTGAGAGGCGAGAGAGGTTGCTGAGGGCATGGGGAATGGATCCCAGTGACGCCCCATCGGTGCCATATTTCTCCAGCGTCCTGCTCGCCCGCACACACCACGAAGGGAAGTGGGAGGTCGTGGGCAACGGAGAAAGGGAATCGGCGTGCTTTGGCGTGGCGAGATATGGCATGGCATGGCATGGCATGGCGTCGCATTTCATGGCGGCACGGAACAGCACGGCACGGCACGGCACGGCATGGCATGGCATGGCGCGGCATGACACATCTCATTCCACGGACTCACATTTTCACAATCATGCCATCCGAATCGCACACCAAGGCAAATGCGTCCGCGCAGTTTCCCCCCGCCGTCCATCCGGGGAACGTTGCGCCCCACTGCCGCTGACACTCCGCCAGCACCGCCGCTGCCCAGGAACGGCGGAGCACAACGGCGGGTTAGACGGTGGAACAGGCGTGCGGGGAGCGCAAAGGAGGAGTGCGGGGATAGCAGCGGAGAATTGGGGGAAAGGCCTTGCGCAGGTGCTATCAGCGGTACATTCTGATGCGAAGAGGAGAACGGCAGTCCAAAAGTGGCATGTGGGGAATGGGGAAGGGGGAATGGCATGAGGGGAGAAGCAAGAAAATTAAGGCATATGGCGAAGGTGCTACCTTGGGACGGTTTTATCGTCTGTGCAATCACAGAACGCGGGAAGCCCGAGAAGACTAACAGGCACACCGTCACGACTAGATGCCACCTATTGTCAGGCCACGAGAGATCGCAGCCTCCGTGACTATGACCGGATTTATTGGTACTGTAGCGGTGGCAGTTATTAGGTCTTGTGGCCATTCTGAGGAAGACTGGATGTTGTGTTCCCATCAGACGTCGCAATCTAGATACTGTTGCCCTAAAATGCTAGAGCAACAAATTTTGCTCTAATAGCCTCATGACGATCGGGTCTCACTACAGGTCATGACTAAGGTACTAATTTGGGAAATGCATAATCGAAACAGCACGACGGATTGCGTAGAATATGGCGACGCGACTGCAAGGAGCCTGCTGCTACTGGTGTTCGTAACAGTAAATCCACTTCTTAGGGTCGTCTGTTTCTCTCTGCACTCTAATTCGTTGCGTCACGGTGCAGAACGGTATGTATTGAGAACCGCTTTCCACCGTGTGGGACCGTCCTGAGCCACGAAGCATGTACGACCTGGGCACACTCGTACGTGCCCCTTACTGTAGGTTGGCGTGGTGTGGGCACTGGTTCAACTTCTATGTGCAAACCTGTTTTTCGGTTTGGGCGGCTAGGTTTGTCATTGCTTACATGAAATATGGACTGTAACGCGAATGCCGGCTTGGGCCAATCACGATGCACCTATATTCTTCTTGGTCTCCAGCGGGTCCAGCTTACCGTATATTTATATTTATATTTATCTGACATTAAATCAGCAGCTTGGATCACACCATTACCGTATCAACCACGATTTTTGACACACACACACACACACACACACACACACACACACACACACACACAAAAACCTCAGGTTCTTTCGGGGCAGCCAAAACCCGAGACTCAGGTTTGCGCACACATGACATTAAAATAGCACTACTATATAAACACGCCTGCAAAGGCAATGAATACAAGCAAGAGAGCATCTGCACAGGAAAACAAGGACTCAACATGCCTCCGGCCTTGCATGCTCAATTGTGATCAACCCATCTTCATCACAAATCCTAAGCGTTACCGCCTTGCCCCTACCCTCATGCCGCTGTATCCCACCTAATCTTTGTTGGATGTCCGAATTCGTACTCCCATGAATACTCCCCGTGCCCAGCAACTCCCCTCGCAGGTCCTTGAGCTCTTGCACAACCAGAGGCATGGCAGGGCGAAGCGAGGCATTGGCAAGGCAGCAGCTGAGAGCGAGCTGGATGATGTGAGCGAACATGTCGTCTGGTGCATCCATGCGCGGGTCCTTCAAGCTCGCCACATCGCCACTGGATAGACAGTTGGTCACCTGCAGCAAGCAACAGCAGTAAGAAAAAAACGAGCGAGCTTAAGAGTATGCACAGAGCGAGCAGGATGGCAGACAGACGCCATGTTGCATGAAATCCACCAGAGGCTCTGTGCTCTGTGCGGTGCTCTGCAAATTCAAACAGTAAGTCAGGCCCAAAGCTTGGTGCTGCACAACCAATGCGGCTGATGGGAAAACCGAAAAGCAACGCCACAGACAGACAGACTGACCGCTTGCTGAGTGTCAGTCTGGAACTCATCCTCCAGCAGGGCAGCATGGCTGGCTACGGTGGCGAGAATGACGGCGTTTTTTAGGCGCCTCAAAAACCGAAAAGCAAGGCCACAGACAGACAGACTGACCGCTTGCAGAGTGTCAGTCTGGAACTCATCCTCCAGCAGGGCAGCATGGCTGGCTACGGTGGCGAGAATGACGGCGCCAAAGCTGTAGACATCGCAGGAAGTGCTCGCCTGCATGGTCTGCGCATAGCAGGGGTCCGTGAAGCTCACCACGCTGCTCTCACCCACCCTCACCACGCCCAGATTCGCCACCTTGGCCTGTAGTGCAGCCATGACACACGGTGCCGGCATGTGGAACACGTGGAGGGATGTGGGCAGCCAGGGGAACAGGTGACGCATGTGGTGAGGATGAGGAATGGATGGATTGATGGAGGCAAGGAGGCATGGATGGATAGCTGGTGCGTGTAGAGAGCACCACAATGCTCATCGATGATACCAACTGAGAATCAACCCACATCATAATGCACACTTTGCGTCTTGGAGTGGTGGGGAAGGAGTGCTGGGGAATTCGTGTTAGGGTATGTGTTGTTGGGGAAGGATTGTTGGAGAAGGTCGCTGTTAATGTGTCAAGCATCCCCAAGGCATGACAGATGTGACAAGGAGGCTGCGGGGCCACACCTGCATGTTCCTGTCGAGCAGGATGTTGGCGGGCTTGATGTCCCGATGCACAATGCCAAACTTGTGCAGGTATGCCAGGCCCTTGGCCGCCCCCAGCAGGATGTGCAGGCGCTGCAGCAGGGTGAGGGGCGTGGCGCAGTCTGGGGGAGGGGAGAAGAGGGCGGGGAGGGGTGGGTGGGGAGAAGAGGGCGGGAGCGGGGTGGGGGGAGAAAGGGGGTCATGGTCAGGGCGGCAACGAAAAGAAACAGAGATGTATCACCGAAACATGAGGAGGAAGTGGAAACAGAGCACAGACGCAGCGGCAGGAGGTGGGGGGAAGGGGGGATGGGTGGAGGGAGGAGGGGGGGCACGGGGGAAGGGGAGAGTGGGGGCAGGGGGAAGGGAGAGGGAGGGGAGCAGGAAAGGGGCAAGGTGGGAAGAAGGGAAAAAGGGGAGGCCGGGATGATGATGACGAACAGCAGAAAAGCAGTGATAACCACAAGGTGGCGCCACTCACATTCTCCAATCCACTCGTCCAGGCCACCATTGGGCAGCATCTCATAGACGAGAATCTGCTCCATGCGTGCACGCGGCATGCCAACCGTCATCTCTTGAGTCGACTCAAGGCACTCACATTCTCCAATCCACTCGTCCAGGCCACCGTTGGGCAGCATCTCATAGACAAGAATCTGCTCCATGCGTGCATGCACCCAGCGAGCCATCCATATCCTGGACGGACTCACAGCACTCACATTCTCCGATCCACTCGTCCAGCCCACCGTTGGGCAGCATCTCATAGACGAGAATCTGCTCCATGCGTGCGCCCGGTGAGCCATCCAAGGGCGGAGCCTTGCAGTACCCCAGCAGCCGCGCCACGTTCGGGTGGCTCCTGGGCGACATCTGAGCTATCTGCAACAGGAGCGAAGGGGGGAGAGAGGGGGGGGGGTTGGTTTGGGTGGAGTAGAGGAACCAAGGACGGAACATGAAGGGGAGGCGGGAAGGGAGTGATGTGACAGAGAGTGTGAGACGGGTGAGTGAGTGATAGTTGATGGCAGTAATGTGCAAGAGCGCAAGTGGCATGACAGCGGCAACAGCAGGACAAGAAGCTGCTGCAGCAAACGGCAGAACAAGCACTGCCGCTCGCTCGCTCGCTCGCGGTCTTCTTCCTGAAAGCTGTTGTTGAGCACTGCGAAACCAGCGCCCACATCTCCACAGCACCACTCCGCAACCCTCTTCCTTCCGAAAACAATTTCTGCTGCCACCGTGTCGTGTGTATTCAAAGTCGAATCAAAACGCACACCAACCCACCTCTCTTTGATAGTCATTGCTGAGCACTTTGGCGCGCTTCACAGCCCACAGCGTGGTGCCATCGTGCGTATTCAGAGTCAACTCAAAACACACATTTCATATCAGTACCAGCCCACCTCTCTCTGATAGTCATTGCTGAGCACTTTGGCGCGCTTCACAGCCCACAGCGTGGTGCCGTCGTGTGTATTCAGAGTCAACTCAAAACACACATTTCATATCAGTACCAGCCCACCTCTCTCTGATAGTCATTGCTGAGCACTTTGGCGCGCTTCACAGCCCACAGCGTGGTTCCGTCGTGCGGGGACACCCCTCGGTACACGTCGTGAAAGGCCCCCGCGCCTATCAGGCTGTCCGCCGCCCAGTTGCCGGTGGCCCGGCACAGCTCGTCTGGTGAGAACTCTCTCGTTGGTATCACACGCCTCTTGGCCGAGCGGGATAGGCTTGATGAGCCTGCCATGTGGTGAAGGGGTGGTGGAGAGCGAGGAGAGAGGATGGGGGAGGAATGGGGAGGAGGGGAGAGGAGGTGGAGAGAGGGAGGGTATCGGAGGGAGGGAGGACAAACGGTGGGGGAGGAATGCGGAGGGGGGACAAAATGAAGCAGGTGCATGAAAGGTGGAAATGTGAGGAACAGAATGAGGTGGGGGAGAGAAAAAGAACACTAACGACAGAGCAAGAGGGCAAAGACCTGCGCCAATCACACACTCCCTCTCATTCAAATCCTTTCATTACCATGTTATCCCCATCCCCATACCTGACCTTCCCCTTCAACCTAGTCACCCCTCACCCCCATCCCTCCCATCCCGTCCCACTACATCCCCCCTCCTTCTTCTCCCCCAACCTTCGCCTCCCTCTCTCCCCCTCACTCCCTCCTCTCCCTCCCTTCTTTCCACCCCAGTCCATACTGCTGGTGCGCGCAGGTTGCTGCTTCTGGCCCCCGCAGCGCCACCACACGACAGCAGCGAGCAGCATGACAGCAGCAACAGCGCCCACGATGGCCACAATGCCAGTGCTAGACACTCCCGACTGCCTAAGAGGGTCCTCCGGGGCCACAGGCGGGCCCGGCGGGGGCGGTAGGGGATAGGCGGACGAGGAGGAGGACTGGGAGTGCCCTGAT